ATTAAAGAGGGCACGTTCTGCATGGAGCACTGGGTGTTATATGCAAACAATGAATCATGGAACACTACATCAAAAACTAATGATGTAAAAAAACCCAAAAAACTAATGATGTAATGTATGGTGATTAACATAACATAAAAAAAAAAAGAACTACCAGGGGCGCCTGGGTGGTTCAGTTGGTTAAGCATCTGACTCTCCGTTCCAGCTCTGGTCATGTTTTCAGGGTCATGACCTCAGGGTTGTGAGATTGAGCCCCAAGTTGGGCTCCATGCTCAGTGTGGAGTCTGCTTGTCCCTCTCCCTCCCCTCTACTCTTCCCCTTCTGCTCCTCCCCTAGGCCACATGCTCTTTCTCTCTCAAATAAATAAATAAAATCCTTAAAAATAAATAAAATAAAATAAAATAAAATAAAATAGAACTATCATATGATCCAGCAATTTCACTTAAGTCTAAAAAGGCCATCATCTACAAACATAAAAGAAAGCTAGTCACAAGTGAAATATTTATAAATGAATTAAGCAGTATAAAGAAAAAATCTTAAGTTAGTCCAAGTTTTACTAATATCCTAATGGAAGCACATTACTGCTTTGTGTCATATATTCATCACTCAAATACAAAATATACATTCTTTAATGATCTGCTAACCAACATTAAGCAAAATTAACCAAGGCATAGTAACAGAATCCTTTTGGCTAATTTTAGAATCTGGATTGCATTTGGTCTCCCACATTATTATCACCATTAAGCTCAGAAGTTCACTGAGCAATATTTGAGCAATGAAAAAACAATGAACAGCAAATTAATTACATATAAAATTATTAATGAAATATGCAATAATGCTTCCAGAACTCACAACCAAACAATTCACAGTTTAATTACTGCCTTCCATTGTCAGCCTTTAAAACTGGATTAATACAAGGTTTTCTTTTCATTGTTTCAAAATGCCCGATGCGGGGCTCCATCCCAGGACCCTGGGATCATGACCTGAGCCGAAGGCAGCCGCTTAACTGACTGAGCCACCCAGGCGCCCCGTAAGGCAAGTTTTAATAAGACTTTTAGCTTTACTAGTAATATATTTTGACTATTTCTCATGCATTCATTTTTAGCTAAGTAAATGGAAATAGGAGAAAAATAAGTATTCCCTGAGTCAGAAATTTAGTCGGAATCAGGGAACCAATAGATTTATAAGTCAAATCAGAGGTGAAATTTAGTATTCTATACTCAAAAGGGTCATTCTTCCCTGGATGCTAATATTGTATACGTAACAATACAGGAGCCAGTGGCCGGAAGTTCATTTGGTTTGTAAATTCCTTTGGACAATTGCAATGTTGTTAGTTACAAGACAGATGCTGAGGAGAATATCCTCAGCAACATCCTTAACGTCCTTCCAATTCCTCTTTCCTCTGAGAACCACTTAGGAATGTAATGTCAAAAGCAGCCATAGGCAAATCTTTACCTGACTTAAATCTCTCTCCCCTTTCCCAAATTTCTTCCTTCTCGTTAGAAATAATTTGAGTATGGTTTGAGAATCTAGATGCCTTTTGGGAGTTAATGCTTTTTCCACATGATTATGTTTTCACCACTGAAAATAGGGAAATTATTTTTTCTCTGGACATTCCACTGGAATTAAGTACTATACTGCTGAAAGGAAAATAATATCTTCAGGGTATGGACATTACCAACATTAGGAAAATCTCATAAAAGTTCTGTTTCCAGAAATTTCTCTTTTAATCTAAATTACTGGGGTTTGAGATAATTTTCAACGGAGGCAGAACATTGCTTTTCTATCAAATTAAATATCCAAATTCCTCTGATCTATTAATTATTAACAGAACATTTATACCACTTCTTCTTTTAAAAGCAGCAGGTATATACATATATCATTGCATTTTCCCCCCAAATTTCCATTTTTAGGTGTTTGAGGGTAACTGCTTTTATCATAATTTTTCAAATGAAGAACCTGAAACCAGAGAGGCTAACTGCTATGCTCAAATTAGAGTAGACTCGGCGCTGAACCCTACACCCTCTCAAACACCCCTTACACAGCATTTATCTTTATAATTAGAACAAATTGCAGGGCCCTGTGCATAGGAAAAGGACTGGAATGAACATTAAATATTAAATATTATTGGCTTTTTGAACTACTAATGTTCTTATCATTCAAAAAGCTCATATTAAAACTAACTTGGATCCAACAACTTTGTGCTACAGCTTAAGTTGTGCCCTCACTGACAGTGTAATAGCTAATAAATTGGTTAAATTCATGATCTATACATCTGCAATATGGAATTTACCTTTTTATTATTTTTTAATCTTTTTTTTAAGATTTTATTTATTTATCTGACAGAGAGAGCCAGAGAGCACAAGCAGAGGGAACAGGAGAGGGAGAGGGAAAAGCAGATTCCCTGCTGAGCAGGGACCCACCGCCCCCCACCCCCTTCCCTGCCCCCCGGCCACCATGACCTGAGCCGAAGGTGACTGCTTAACCAACTGAGTCACCCAGGCGTCCCACCTTTTTATTTTAAAAAGTCTTTTGTCAGCAAATCTGGAACAGACTTCGGACTCCTTGATTTCTTTTTTTTAATCAATAACATTGGAGGATGATGCTACTACTTCAAATTTCTTTGGGGGGTGGGTGGCTAAGTTGCTAGTGATAGGTGGGGTCGAGGAGGGTATGAGAGATGGACAGAAAGAGGTCATGGCTAGAGGCCTACGTGAAGCCAAAAGGCCTTTTTACCAGAGACCTCATGTTCTTAGATCCATGTACAGAGAGGGAGAATGGCTCCATGATCCCATGGCACCTTATAGTAAGATCTACAATAGATATGGAGCTTTGATTAATCTTCTCCCTTCATTTTACAGTTTAAAAGCCTGAAGTCCAGAAGGCTAGTCCATAGCCAGAAGACTGGCATAAAAGGACAACAGGACTTTACATTCTGAACCACAAGCATCTTGTGAGGATGGATCCTGTTAAATGGAAAGCCCTTTTCCTTCCCCCCACCCCCACCCCACTGAGCTCCTGGATTGATTTAGGTATGCAAATTTAAGCATTTAAGCATAGTTGCTGTAGAGCCAAAGTGCTTTGCCTGAGACAGCATTCCCCCTGGAGTTGTGTGGCCCTGGACAGGCATAGGGTTGGGAGAAAGAGGGAGCCTGAAAGACCCATACTTCTGTGAGCTTCCCCACCACTCACATTTCATTAGTAGACCTGCAAATGCTGGCTGGGCATGAAGTGTTAGTGGAAACAGGGGAAGGGATGTAGTTTCAAGTCCAAGTTAGCTTTAGCACAAACAGTTGGCAGGTATAGAAGAAGGAGCTGGGGACACAGGAGATCATGAGAAAGTAAACCTCTAGGGATGAGCAGGAATTTTGAGGAAGTATTGGGTTTCCACAATTCATGGAATTCAGTTTATTTGTGTAGAGGCCGCAGTCAGACTTTGAGTTTTTAGCTGAATTACACTAGTTAATGGTATAATTAGTGCTAAAAACATAGATCTTTTGATTCCTGGTTCAATGCTCTTTCACATCATAATGTGTTCTTTTCTTATATACAAAGGACTTCCTGGTGGCCAGGGATTTCTACTTTGAAAGATGGCCCAGAGCCCAGAGCAAGGAGTTGCCCAAACAGGAGAATAAATTCTGGATTCTAATGGCTCCCTCCTTCAGTTCTAATTCTTTCTTCAACTTTCCAGTCTGATATACCCAATTACTTTTACTACTGCCCAATCAGAAAACCACTGTCCATATATATCAGATACAGTTTAGATCTGCTTCTAAATCTAGGAAGCAAGTATACAATCCAGCCTAGGATGTTCAAAGAAGCCAGTAATATTAAAGGACTAAAAACAGAGTCATTGCCGGCTGCCTAATCAAACCTCTTTGATCTTAGTGAAGCCATTCATTTACCTACAAGCGTTCTTACTCACATGGCTGGCTGCATCCCTGGGCTCTGTTCTTAGAAGGGTTTAAACTTGGGGTTTAAAGTGACTCTGCCTGTCACTGTTTTGAAATTTTTAATAATTTGATTTCTAAATTTGTGTTTTGTAAGTAAAGTCCAATGGGACAACAGAGGAAGTGCTGGGGGATTGGTGCTTTATCTCACATGGAGCCCTGCCTCCCAGAGAGTCTCTGCTATCCTGTCTGCTCCCCTACCCTTGTTCAGTGACCTCTGCCATCTGCCCTGCTGGGGTCAGGGCACAGCTAGGGAAAGGCTGGGGTCAGGCCCACACCCTGTGACTGAGCCATGGCCGGGGCCCAGAGCCTGTGAGGGTACGCACTGGGCCAGAATGTATCCTAGGCCTGAAGGAACTAGACATTAAATAGCAGATAAAATACAATGTGACAGGTCAAGAAAAAGCTTTTTCTTGCTTTTTAAACAGGAAGCCCACCTTTTTATTTTGCACTAAGCCCCACAAATTACGTAGCTGGCCCTGACTTGATACCTTATCTGGCAATCTCAAGCTAATGTTATTTTTAGATTCTGACTAAATAACCACACTTATATGGAATAATAACTCTGATTTTACTAAAATTATTATTTGGTTTCAAGAACTCTTAATATTAAACACAAAATCAGATGTTTTCAACAGTTCAACAGAAGGAAAATAAGCTTCTATATTATTCTTGCCAGCAGGTATCATTAGCAACAGAAAGTTTGGATCTGTTGTTGTGACTTGACAGTATAATGGATGAAATGGAAAAATGATAGAATTTTTTTTCACTGAGGCAGCCAGGAAAAAAAAATTAGTTATTTCTCCACAGTGGAAATATTATCACTCCATATTTTCTATCACATTAGGGGAAGTTTTAAAAAAAATCTTGTTACCTCTCTCGAATGCTGGTATTTGCTCATAAATAACTATAGAGCTTTTCCATTATCTATATGGCAGTATATTACAATGGCAATAGGCCACTGATGTCAGAGAAATCAAGAGGAAGTATAAGAAATAGCTTTTTATTTTCTTTTTAATTTTGTATCTGCTTCACATTTTAATATCTTACCTTGAGCTTGGCCAAAAGAAGTTCATGATCATGAAGAAGTTTTTTGGTCTCATCTTGACTGCTACCAATTTCTAGAAGATTGGGCTGTGATTCAGCCAATTGAAGTTGTACCCACTTGCCACACTATAAATAAAAATGAAATAAAATACACTTTTAGTTCCTCTTGTTTCTTCCCCTTTACCCTTCTCCTTTTTCTTCTTTCTTTCTTTTTTTCTGTTTCAGTTTTACTGTGAACATTTTATTCTTTCTATAGAGATAGGCCTTCCTGAAATTGAAATATAACAGGTTTAATATAAATCTACTCCCTGTCTTTTTTTTCACTCTTAGGGTAAATTCTTTTCTCTTGGCATACGGTATTTAAATTAAAAATTCTCAAATGAAGAACACATACAATAGATTGTGTATTACTGAATATTATAAAATTACAGAACATGTTACACAATTGTACATTCTCTCTCTCACAAAACTTAATTCCATAAAAAGAGTGAAATTGCATATAGGGGCAAATAGGCTGCAAACTTCACCAAAGGGGAAAGGTTTTATAAATGCTATTTAGGCTGATCAGTGTCTTTACATTGACCTCACTGGTTCAACTGTGAAGAATAAACAGCAGATGAAGCAACAGATTTTTATCTTACAGTAAAGTTAAAAACATAACATTTTCCAACTTTTGTTGTTGAGTAATCAATAAAGTATGTATGAAAATGTCAATAAATTTAAATGCATGTGACAACAGCTGTATGAATGCAGCCAATTTGTTTTACACACATAGGACACTTTCACTGCTCCAAGATATAATTCACCATTGCATTTCCTGAGGAATTGCTTTTCTAAGAAGCAACAACTGATTAAGCAAGAGGAACTGCTAAAAGGCACGTGCACATGGATAAGCAAAGTGTTGAAGAGAAACGAAAAATATGTGTGGCTAGTCCAGATCATGAGTGCCCTAAGACCATTTGGAAACAAACCCATACAGATCAGACACAGACACTTCTTTAAGATGGACTTTCTACTCTGAATAGCTTGTGGTTTATTTTATTTGGGACAGCAGTAAGTTAAAGAAGCTGTGGAGGGTGGTCAGAGGGAACATTCTTAGAAACACAATCAAGTTAAAATAAGTATTTCCAGCATAATTTTAGGGTTTTTTTTCCCCTGCACTGTCAATTGACCTCTGATTCTCCTAAAATTTATCCCATACACATTATTCCTCTTCCTGCTCTAAGAGATGTTTCCTATTTGAGGGAAAGAAAAGTTAACTTTTTTAAAACAATGAGTTTGCCTCTTTTCCCTCACTGCTGAAATTTGTAGTTACTCAAAGCACATAAAATCACATGCAAATTATCATTTTTTGCTACTTCTGCCTCAGGCTTCTTTCCATGCCCACCTACTGCCTTTGAAAGGACTCAAGGGCCAGGGAATCATCAGAGGTGCTGTTTGCATGGGGCTAAGTCTCAAGAGCATTGGGAATCACATCAGTAGGAACACTATATTCAGTGCTTCTAGAGTGAATTGTTTTGCATAGTATCAAGTGCTGCTTTCCTGTTACAACTTTTCATATTAACATAAAATTCACAGCAATTAAGTTAAATTAAACAGGCCTCAGTCTAGGCTTCTAACAAAGGTCAGAGAAGTCATTCAGCTCAGGTTTGTGAGGTCCTGAAAGTAACTGGCTGATGAGCACCAGCTTGTTTGCCTTGTTCACTTCATTAAACACTGAATTCGTGAAGTAGTGACTTGTCTAAATCCAAGCATAATGCTTCAAGGGTTTTTGCAAGACATTTCATAGGGAATAAAATCATAGATGTCTTCTTCAACCTAAAGGTATGTGGCCATCTTTGCAAATCAGCAAATTACTTGACATAAAATATGCAATAGCCCTAAGCCTCAAGTAGCTTCAACTTCCTGCTGATAAGGGCAAATTTGATGCCTGCCCTTTGCACCTTCCCTGGCAGGGTCTTCATTCCCCCAAAATGTGATAAGGATTTCCTAGTGCCTTTACCATGTCAAAAGCAGTGCTGCGGAGGGCACATATCAGAGCCTCCTATTAGGTGTTCCCTGCCCTCCATCATGTTCAAAACAGTGCCAGCCCGTATCTACTGGGACCGTCCTCTTCCGTCCTCCATCACATCCACTCTCAAAAATCACAAACATTTTACAGGTCCCCATTGATTCTCCAGCCTGTGAACTTGCAGTCATGAGTACCTTGCCTTTAAAAATCAAATTGAAAGTATATGGTAGAGTTTTTTTGTTTTTGTTTTAATTAAGCTGCTGTAGATGTTTTCTGACTAACTGAAAGAGAAACCATAGTAAGTTACTTAAACTTACAAGTAAGATGTACTTGCTGTGCTATTTTCTATATGCTGAGTGCTGCTGACTATGTGGAACATTCTTTAGGATTATTAACACCCTGCAAAAAGCCAACAGCCACAGAGAAAAAGGAAAGTTGTCTTACCTTTATGACAGCTATCACGATTCTGGAGTCCCCAGCCTGAACAGCTACTGAACTAACTGTCGTCGTAGAAAACTCCACACCAGGACTTCCTTGGCTGGACATGGTACTTTAGAACCAGAATTTATACTCTGGACAGCCTCTGGACAGATGTGTGTCTGCTGGTCATTTCAGAAGGCAATCACTGGGGTTAGTTGGATTCATTCAGGGAAGGAGCTCAGCTCGCACTGATTACTCTGCCAAAAGGAAAGAACAGGAGGTTAAAAATAGACAACCCCATTGAGTTTATCACGAGAGGGGAGAGAGAAGAGAATGGGAAAGAACAGCCACACCCCTGGTATGGTAACACTAAGTGCCTGATATTTTTGCCATTATCTTAAATGGGGAGGGCAGTTTCTAGCTCTCTGCCTATCAGTTGATGTTTAATAGCAAAGGGAAAAAAAATTACATCCTGACAACCCAAATTAATTTGGCCATTGAATCTATTATAGCTAGGGTGGACTTTGAAACCAGCCAATCATGGACCTGGATATCAATCTTTTCAAGATTTTCAAGTCTCCCTTATGCAAAGAAAACCCCACAAAATGTACTTTAAAAATAAGTTCTAGGGGTGCCTGGGTGGCTCAATCGTTAAGCGTCTGCCTTTGGCTCAGGTCATGGTCCCAGGGTCCTGGGATCGAGCCCCGCATTGGGCTCCCTGCTTGGCGGGAAGCCTGCTTCTCCCTCTCCCACTCCCCCTGCTTGTGTTCCCTCTCTCGCTGTGTCTCTCTCTGTCAAATAAATAAATAAAATCTTCTTAAAAAAAATAATAAGTTCTAGTATGTATTTTGGAATTAAGCCACAAAATTGCTTATAATTTTAGATTAATTTGCTTTTCTAAAACTTACTGCTTTTTGTCAAGTTTATGTGGCATGGTCACATTTTCTCAGAGCTTCAGATTTCTTAGGGACATGTAAAAAATATTTTAATGAGCAATTATCGGTATCTACCATTTCAGGATTTCTTTGTGATTACTTACTCTACTCACTAGCATTTTCAAATTCAATGATCACAACTACCAGGAAGTAATTATCTTGTTATTACCTTTTAATTGCAGCAATAAAATGTTTTTTTTTTGTTTGTTTAATTAAGGGTTAACACTGTATATTTTACTGCAATTTTTTAAAAAGGATAACAATGTACTTCAGGTTTCATTTTTATTCTTCTCCACCCCCTATGCAGGAAAATTATAGACAGCTTCAAATCAGAGCCCAAGATCATCAGATTAATCCTCTTGCTAGAAACCCAGCGTGTGTCACAAGCTGTCTGTGGTATTAAACAGCAGCTGTTGGATTCCCTGTCAAAGAACAGCTGAAAATAACACTGCGGTTTAGGTCAGAGGTCAGATGCAAATACATCAGAGATACTGACTCCAAATCTGCTAGAGCCATTGGAAACTTCTGGGACAAAGCCAGAATGGAGGATAAAGCAATAAACAGAGTCAAACAGTTATATAGCTACTACCCAGGTCTCTGGTCTCAGCACCTTCCTGCTGGCCAGCAAGAGGGAAACCATACCTGGATCCCATTCCTGGGACCCACAATCTTTATCTGATGCCATGAAGGGAGAGGTTGGAGCAAGCTCAGGAGAGTAGATACCAAGAGATACCAGGATGTAGAAAATATCATAAATGGTTTCATTTCATGGCAGAGATGGAGAACCAACGTGACCTCCTTGTTGAGTTTGCCTCAGTGTCGAAGGCAAGCTCCTTCTGCTTGAGCAAATAGTCCAAACAAACCAAAACAGAAAAAACAGTTTTCTGCTAACTGCCCTCAAGAACAAACCAAGAGTTGACAGCTGTGTCACATAATATCCACACCCTAAACTAAAATGCCCAAAGGAGTATTGCTTAAATCATTGTGTACATTGCCAACCGGAACAGCAAACAGTGACCTGCACCCAAAATACACAGTGCATTTTTTACTCCAAGTTAATCTTACTGTTAGAAACTGAGTGTGTTTAAAAAAGAAAAAAAAGAAAGAAAGAAAGAAAAAGAAACTCAGTGTGTGTCATAGTGTCATAGTGTCATAGTTGTATATAAACCTTCAAGAGGCAAAGGGACCTCTGTCAGCAGGCTGCAAAGACGATGGCTAGGAAAAAAGTGGTTCTGTCCATAAAGCCCCACTTAGGATGGATGATTGTGCAAAGGGTGTGGAGGGCAGGCTGGAATGTGTGGCACCGCAGGTCCACACCAAGGAAGAGGACAGAAAATATGGTTGAAAGTCTGAGAATACCAAGGTTTAAGGGCAAAGGCAATTAGAAATATTTAAGACTTTGTCAAAAGATTAATCCAGCTCTTCAGCAGCAAAGGTAGGGCCTTCTTGTGTGCAGATGACCTTTCTCTGTTAATTAGATGGAGCAGGGCTGGGGTGTTGCATAAAGAAACTGTTTTCTACGTTGGGAGACATGGACAATAATGCAAACTGCATACATGAATTTAAGTGATTTCAGACTAATATTTTCGAATTTAAATTCTTGGCCTTGAAACCTTTAAAAGGCTTCGATCACTTTTTTTCTCCCCATCCCTTGTTGTCTTTTCGACTTTTTAGTCCTTTCCCCTACAGAAGTTTTGTTGTTCAGATTTCTCTATCCACATATAGCTCATTTTGAACTTTGGCCTGTGTTTCTTCATCTAGCATAATATTTAATTATAAGTTGCACTGTTAACTCTGGGAAACAATTTGGAGAATAGTTAGTATGAAATATATGTTGTACTAAGAAAATTGGTATATTAACTATAATTAGATGGATTTTTTTTAAAAGCTTTTTGAGATACAGTTTGCTTATACTCCACCTCCCCTACCATCACAAAACAAAACAAAACAAAAACCAAACAAACAAACAAACAAGAAACCCCAAAAAACAAAACAAAACAAAAAACCTTACAGGCATTCTCCTATCCTTTGAAGTTTATGGAGGATCTTACAAAGGTTATTATGCCTTCTTTGTTTATCCCTCTGGGAAATGCCTGTTTTTATACCAGCTGAATTTTAGTGAAGTATCTTCCATGGGGATATATCAAAAAGCTATAACTGGATTCTGTAGAGTTGCAAATAGCACTTCTTTTCTCCAATTTTTTTTTATTATGTTAAAATACATATAACATGAAATTTACCATCTTAACTATTTTTAAGTGTACAGTTCAAAGATATTAAACACATTATGTTGTGCAACCATTACACCCACCTATCTTCATAACTCTTTTAACCTTGTAAAACTGAAAATCTATACCCATTAAACAATAGTTCTCCTATCCCTCCTCCCCCAAACCCCTGGCAACCACCATTCTGCTTTCTGTCTCTATGATTTTGACTATTCTAAGTATTTCATATAAATGGGATCATACGGTATTTATCTTTCTGTGACTGGCTCATTGAACTTAACATAATGTCTTTGAGGTTCATCCATGTTGCAGCACCTGTCAGAATTTCTTTCCTTTTTAAGGTTAACTAATATTCCATTGTGTGTGTGTGTGTGTGTGTATACACATTTTGCATATCCATTGACCCATCTATGGACACTTGTACTGCTTCCATATTTTAGCTATTGTGAATAATGCTGCTATGAACACAGGTGTGCAAATTATCTGAGATCCTGCTTTTAATGCTTTTGTGTATATACCCAGAAATGGAATCACTGTATCATATGGTAATTCTATTTTTAATTTTTTGAGGAAACATCACACTGTTTTTCATGGTGGCAATAGTACATTTTAATAAAGTATAGGTAGCTAGTAGTTTGGAAACTTTATCATGTGATTTTTTTTTTTAAGATTTTATTTATCTATTTGAGAGAGCATGAGCAGGGGGAGGAGCAGAGGGAGAGGGACAAGCAAACTCCCCACTGAGTGTGCATCCCGAGGCAGGGCTTAATCCCAGGATCCCAAGATCAAGACTTCAAACCAAAATCAAGTCAGACTCTTAACCTACTGAGCCACCCAGGTACCCTCGTGTGATTATTTTTTAGCTCTGTCTATGGGTATGACATTAAAACAACACATTTTCTTTACTGGAGTATATGTGGGATCCACCCATTTCTTCATAGAGAATCCCAGTTGTTTGTCTTAATCAATATTATCATTAGTTAAACTTTATAAAGTTTATAAACTTTATAAAGACAAATTAGATAGACCTGACATAAAAAAAAAAAAAAACCCAGAATGAGTCTATTTATCCAGGTTAAAAATTCAAGGCAAAACTTTCTCTGCTATTATTATTAGCAGTAATAATAATAGCTACCATTTAGTGATAGTTATTACATGCCAAGAACTGGGACAAGTGCTTTATACTCTATTCCATTTAATCCACATACGGCTGGAAGACTTATTTTCCTGACTTTATAAATCACACACACGCAGTGATTTACTGATACCCACCACCTCCTGTCCAAACCTTTCTGCCTGGGTTTCAAAGCTATCTATGGCCTGCCCCTCCTACCTACTCAGTGACATATACGATTATTACCAGGCCCCAAGGATCATCCTTGGTCTCTACCTTAATTTAGTTGTTCTTAGCAGGAGTATCATCCCCTTCCTCCCTTCATCTATCTGAATTCCTCCCATCATTTAAGACCAAGATGAATTACCACTCCTTTTAAAAGTTGAAACACCTGCCTATATTCCTTTTCTCTAAAATTTGACTATTGCCAAAATTTAATATGTTTATATTACAAACTTGCTTTGTTTTCTAACTATTTCATTTCCATTAGTATTATTTCTCAACTAGATTTGAAGCTCCATATGGAAAGGAGCCATGTCTTACCATTTTGGGGGATCTTTTCCGACCACCTTGTAGGTTATTGGAGAGATTAAAAGAGTTGCTTACGTAAAGTGCTTAGAAGAGGACCTGGTATTTACAAGTGCCATAGACAGAACACCATACTAGGCACAGAATTGATGCTTATAAATATTGGCTGACTGGGCGCCTGGGTGGCTCAGTTGGTTGGGCGACTGCCTTTGGCTCAGGTCGTGATCCTGGAGTCCCGGGATCGAGTCCCGCATCGGGCTCCCTGCTCGGCAGGGAGTCTGCTTCTCCCTCTGACCCTCCTCCCTCTCATGCTCTCTGTCTCTCATTCTGTCTCAAATAAATAAATAAAATCTTTAAAAATAAATAAATAAATAAATAAATAAATAAATAAATAAATAAATAAATAAATATTGGCTGACTGATTAAATCACATTATATATAAAAAAATACACTTTTAATACAATTCATTCAGTCAGTATTTATTCATGCAACCAATAGTTATTGAGCATTTGCTACATACCAGGCACTTACGCATTAGAAATACAGCAGTGAGTGAAACAGAGGTCTCTACCCTTGAAAAGGTAACATTCCAATGAGAAAAGACAGATTATAAGCAATAAAATAAGCAACCAACCTAAAAATACACTATGATTAAAGCTAGGGGAATAACAACCAGTAGTAGTTTAAGTAGATTGAATCACATATTTAGAATTTGCCAGAGAAATCAGGGGATATTTTCAGGGTATTTCTATGGAATACAGAGATTAACAGGAATAATAAACTTGATTATGATCACAAAACAACAACAAAATAAATCACACAATATGGCAAAGGCAATGGGGTAGGAACATGGGTTCTGAAGTGCCACTGCCTTAGTCTCTCTGTGCCTCAGTTTCCTCATTGCAAATTGGGGATAATGGGAATACCTACATCATATATGTTTTGGGGGAGGATTAAATAAGATAATATTTGTAAAACACTTAAAACAATGGTACATAGGTGGTATTCTGATAGTCATATATTATTGTTTCTGAGATGACAACAATATCTGTTAAGGGATATCCTAAATCTAGTAAGTGCCAAAAATTTTGAAATAAATTTTTAAAATTAAGGTGAATTAAAACACATGCTCAGCAACCCAAATGGATTAAATATATTAGAAAGACATAAAATATGCATTACCAGGGAGGAAATTATTTTACTATAATCAGATGGTAAAAACATTTCTGTGAGTCATCATGTCTAGAATACCACCTTTAACACTGACTTTAGCCAAAATTTTCCCTACATCCTTCTTTATATTCTTTAATACTCCTCCTGGTACTTCTAGTTTATTTTAGATTATTACCATTCTCACTTAATTTCCATCTATAAGTAAATGGAAATTGTTCTTTCCCCCTAAAACAGCCTCCATTCTAGCCATCAGCTCATTCTTCTAGGCATGTATTCACTTGTTCATTCGTCGAGTATGATTAAATACCTACTAAGTGTCAGACACTATTCTAGATACCAGGCACACAGCAATACACAAAGTTCATGCACTGATGGAGCTTGCCTTCTGGTGGAGGGGACAACACCACACAGGAAACAAAAAGCACATATATAATTATGTCAGAATATAGTAAGTGTTATGAAAAAAAATAAGGCAAGGTAAGGAGGAGAGAGTGAACAGGGGAAGAGGGATACTATTTTAGAAGGGAATCAGAAAAGGTGTCTCTAAGAGTAGATGAGATTTGGTTACAGACCAGAATTAAATTGAAAAGAGCAAGACAGATATCTCAGGAAGAACATTCCAGGCATCTGCGGCAGGGCATGCTTATGTTATATTTGAAAAGCATCCAGTAGGTCAGTATAGCTGGAGCTAAGTGAGGCTTGAGAGAAAAGGACTCTGATGGAAGATGAGCAGTAGTGGTGGCAAGTTCATATAGGACTTTCTAGGTAGGTGCTTCTATATCCTGGTTTGCTTGGGGCAATCATGGTTTACATCTGTTGCCCCAGCATAATTTCTCTTAAGGGTCCTTTCACTCTCAAGAATCCCATTTGGACAATAATTTTGTGGCTACCTTGCTATTTAGCCAAAGTAAGGACTGGATTTCCTACTGAGTGAGATGGGATATTACTGCAGGTTTCATAGAAGGAAGGACATTGTTTGACTTAACATTGTTAAAAAACAAAAACAAAATTAAAAAAACCCCAAAAACAGCAACAAAAAACCTCTTCATGGAGAGGAGGCCGTAGGAGTCAAAGTGAAAGCAGGAAGTAGGAGGAACTCTATAGTACCCAACCTGCAAATAATAACACAATGCTCCTTTGGGATGATTCTTTATGGTCATCTAAGTTTCACTTCAGAAGAATAGCATATCCAAAACATCATGCTCCTTTTGACAGTTTATCTATACATGAACTTCCATAGATTTCCTTACAATTAAACAAGTTTAATGACATAAATCCCTAGCTTCTCTGTAAGACCTGGAAGAATAATTATAAACCAGCAACTTCTATATCCAGCAAATGTCCTTTCTACAAATGGTAAGGAAAATAAGACAAAACTCAGGCAAGTCCAGAGAAAACTTGGTCAAAAGATCAAAGGTGATTGTATTATTATTATTATTAAGCATAGTATACCAAAAATGATGTGCAAAATATTAATACTTATGTACATCTTTTCTTGAAAATTCTCTATGTAGAGCAATTTATGACCTGGAAAACTGTCCAATATATATGTAGGCTTTAGTTAAAATGAACAGTAAATATGTGGCTATTACTGATTTGGGAAAACCTTTTTTTGAAAAAGAGAGCTGTATATAACATTTCAAGCCAGAAAATGTTAAAAAAAAATCACTGAAAAGCTTTCATGTGCAATGTTTATTTTTTTAATTTTAAGTCACCAGATTTCCTACGCGTGTTGAGCTGTGTTCTTAGGCTCCCAATGTAGCAGGGTTCTTTCTCTGATCCAATTCCTTTTAACATAATCAAGTGTCCTAAGAGTTACCCTTCAGAACAGTGGGTGGTTATATGAGAAGATAGGAGTCTTAGTCAACTTGATTTTGGAAAATTAGATTTCTTTTGTTTTTCCTAACTACTGCTAAACTCTAGTTGAGGCTGAGAATTTCCAGCCCAGAGTAATCCCCAGGGAGGCCTGAAGAGCAGAAGTCCTTCCAGCTGCTTGGGAAGCCAGCAGTGACACTGAGGGTGAGCTGTCACTTCTCCCAGCAGTAAGAATTTTTGCCAAGGAAGGAAAAATAATATAAAAATAAATAATAATATAAATAATAATATTAAAAAATATTTTAAAAAATAATATAATGTAAAACCCAAGGACATGATAATCAAATACCCCACACAGGATGGTATTATCCATGGATTTTAAGCAGGAAGTATGTAAAGAGTTAAAAAGAAAAAAAGTTTCTTTTTAAAATATGAGGTTTTAGTAAGAAACATGAAAACATTAAGAAATTAATGTAAATATATATTACATATATAATAATATACATATGTGTGCATATATGTATATTGTGTACATATGTAAAAGTAGTGTTAACAATGGGCTTTCTCAGTTATATGGAGTGATGTTTCATAATTTGTTGGCATCGGTTAATGACAAATCCAGTTTTAATAAAATTTTACTGTAGATTATTTTTTTTTAAACTTAACTGAGTTTCTAAAAATTTATTGTATGGACTTTAAGATCTGCATCCTCACTCCAAGTGAGAATGCCTCATACCAGTGTTCACACAGAAGTCCCTTGCTATGAGAATCTCCATTTTTGTTAATACATCACTCACCCAAGTCATCGAATCCAACATGAAAGGCAATGATTGCTGAGAATGTCCGGAAGGATAAAGAAGTTAACTAACACCTGCAGGAAAAAAGATATTCATATACTTCAGCTTTTAGGAAAAACAGGAAACAAGATGAGAGAAACTCACAGAGTGGAAAATGGAAACAAAAGTAGCAGCTCATTTGTGCCACACCCCACACAATTCACACCACCCTAAGCAAACCAGTTTCCTATCACAAATTCCACATTCATAAAGGAAGGACTTCAAAAGCAAAGTCAATTTACTTTATGTAGAGTTTGGATTCTGCTTCTGGCTTGTCCCTGCCTTAAGCTCCTGCTATCAGGATGAGCCGATGGCCTCACCACAAATGTTTGCTGAGCACCTGCTGTGCATAGGCCCTGATGTCCTTAATTAGCACCATCCTCATCAAATTCCTTTAGATTTGTAAAACTTGTAACCATTGAATCTGGCTGGGCCCCTCAGGAACCTTGCACTTCTGTCATAGGAGTTGGAGAACTGAGGCAAAAGATCAGTGGCTTATTCAAGTTTATGAACCAAGTGAGTCTACAGCCCAGCCACTTCCCTCTTAGTCTCTTGCTCCAGTACCACAGAGAGTAAGTTCTTCTATCCTAATGTGAAGTCAAAAATTATCAGATGTCCGCACACTCCCTTCACTCAGCTAGTTCACACAGTTGAGCACTTCCTGGACAGAGCCCTGAGTCAGAACCTTACAGCAAGCACTCTTACAAGTCAACAACGGACGTACAAAACTCCATCTCTGTTCCCAGTTTTCTCCATTAGAAAACTAAAGATAAAATATACACATGAAGCACTTTGACAAGAAGGCTTTTATAACATAGAAAATATACCAAGCCTAATGTCTTGGAAATGACAAAAACCCTCTTAAAGAACTTCCCAAATCAGGGGCACCTAGGTCTGTAAGTCAGTTAAGAATCCGACTCTTGATTTTGGCTCAAGTCATGATCTGGGGGTTGTGAGATCAAGCCTAGCAAGCCTGCTTGGGATTCTCTCTCTACCTCTCACTCTGCCCCTCTCCCCCATCTCTAAAAAAAGAAGAAAAAATAAGAATTTCCCAAATCAATGTGAGCAATCACAATGCAGAATAGTTTTATACATGGATGTAAATTAACAGCATCATAATAAAGCTGCTCTGGATTTGTGTCATAGTTCTTCCTACTTTTTTTTTTTTTTTGGTTGTTAAAATGAAATTACATTATTAAGGAATTTATACATAGAAGAATGGAAGTCAATTCTTCTAATAACTTTCACTATAGGATTGTTCAGTGATTTTATAAGCATTTGTATAAATTATGCATTGATGTTCATTTTTCCTATACTTCAAACATGAAATAAAAACATCTGCTGGGGGTGCCTGGGTGGCTCAATCAGTTAAGTGTCTGTCTTTGGCTCAGGTCAGGATTCCAAAATCCTGGGATCAAGTCCCGCACTGGGCTCCCTACTCAGCCGGGAGCCTGCTTCTTCCCCTACCTGCTGCTCCCCCTGCTTGTGCTGTCTCTCTCTTTCTGTCAAATAAATAAAACTTAAAAAAAAAAAAATCATCTGCTATACAAATGTCTGCTTAAAATTTATTTCATGGGCTTTTAACTTCTCAGATTCCTAATTTCTCCATACTACACAGAGGTATGTTTAAATATAAATATTCAAAATAAGATATATGGCTTCCTTGGATTTTCATTTTTTCCATGTACTTCACTGGTATTTAAGAAAAAAAATCCATGGAGAAAGGAAATAGCTGTATCTAGCATTCATTTTGAAATTTGCTGCTATGTTGAATATTCAATCTATATTTATTTTGTGATTTTATCAGATTACTATTTATATATTATTTTATAAATACATATATATTTATAGATAATTTATATATTACATATTTTATATCTATTTCACTTATATTTTATATTTATTTATATTAATTGATATATATTTCAATATACATATATTTAATATATATAAAGTGTAGAGGCAAATAGGACCATGTTTAAACATTGAGTGACTCCCTGAATATCTGAATCCACTAATCTTCACCTTTCCACTTTTTCAATTCATATTTTAATGTAATGATTTCCAACTTTCTTTAAGCTACTACATTCTGTGGTTTAATCTGTGAAATTACTAATCCATTACTTCCCCCTTCTTGCCTATGATATATCATATACTAAACTGTGTTGTAATATTAATTGGGTTTTTAAAGGTGTTTAAAAAAACATTTAAATTCTTGTGGAGATCATTGAAGACACTTTGAGGCATCACAAACTTTAGACTTAGAAATATTAGTATTCCAATTTTTCAGCTTTATTGAGATATAATTGACATAGGACATTGTGTAAGTTTAAGCTGTACAATGTGTTGACTGCAGAACAATTACCACTGTAGGATTAGCTAGCATCTCCATCACACATATATAATATATATTATATTAACATTTTAATAAATATATGTATCTTTTAAATATATATATATTTAGAGTGGGAGATTGGGGGTGAGGGGCAGAAGGAGAGGGAGAGAGAGAACCCCAAGTAGTCTCCAAATGCAGAGCCTGAGGCAGGGCTTGATCTCACAACCCTGAGATCATGACCTGAACCAAAATCAAGAATTGGACGCTTAACAACTGAGCCAACCAGGCACCCCTGCAGTGAGACTATTTAAGATGTACTTCCTTAGCAACTTTCACTTATGTAATACAGTATTAACTATAATTACCATGCTGTGCATTAAATCCTGAGAACTTATCTTCTAATTGGAAGTTGTACTCCAAATTAGTTTGGAAGTTTGACCAACATCTCCCCATTACTCTGATCTCCCAGCCCCTGGTAAACACCATTCTATTCTGTTCCTATGAATTTGGCTTTTTTTAGATTCCACATGTGAAATCATACACTATTTACCTTGCTCTGACTTATTTCACTTAGCATAATGTTCTCGAGGTCCAACCATGCTCTCACAAATGGCAGGATTTCCTTCTTTTTCATGGCTAAATGATATTCCATTGTATTTCTATCATTTCTTTATCCATTCTTCCATTGACAGACACTTTGGTTGTTTTCATAGCTTGGCTATTGTGAATAATGCTGCAATAAACATGGGAGTACAGACATCTCTTCAAGATTGTTTTCATTTCCTTTGGATATATACCCAGAAGTGGGATTGCTGGATCATATGGTGCCTCTATTTTTAATTTTTAAAGAAACCTCCAGAGTGGCTGCACTGATTTGCATTCCCACCAACAGTGCACAAGGATTCTCTTTTCTCAACATCCTTGCCAACTCTTGTTATCTATTGTCTTTTTGATGACAGCCATTCTAATAGGTGTGAGGTGATATCCGATTGTTTTGATTTGCATTTCTCTTACAATTAGTAGTGGTGAACATCTCTTCATGTACCTATTATCTATCTGTATGCCTTCTTTGGAAAAAATGTCTATTCAGTTCCTCTACCTATTTTTTAAGTGGATTATTTTTTTGCTATTGAAATAGTTGTATGATTGTGCGTTGTTTTTAGTTTGTTTGTTTTGGCTATATACTTTGAATATTAACCACTTTTCAGATAGATATACGCTTTACTAATATTTTCTCCCATTCTATATGTTGTCTTTTCATTTTGTTGATTGTTTGTTGTTGTTGTTCTTGTTTTGCTGTGCAGAAGCTTTTTAAAAGTTTGATGTAGTCCCACACTACATAAAAACTAATGATGTAATATATGGTGATAAACATAATAAAAAAACACACAAAAATAAAAATAAAAAAATAAAAGTTTGATGTAGTCCCACTTTATTCTTTTGTTGCTTGTGCTTTTGCTGTCATATCCAAAAATCATTGCTAAGACCAATGTCAAGGAGCTTTTTCCCTATGCTTTCTTCTAGGAGTTTTATGGTTTCAGGCCTTATGTTTAAGTCTACAGTCAACTATGAGTTAATTTTTGTGTGTGGTGTAAGATATGGTCCAATTTCATTTTTATGCATGTGGTTATCCAGTTTTCCCAACACCATTTATTGAAAAGACTGTTTTTTCCCTGTTGAGTCTTTTTAGCTTCCTTGTTAAGTATTAGTTGACCACGTAGATGGTGGTTTACTTCTGGGTCTCAAATCTGTTCCACTGGTCTATGTGTCTTATGATAGTGCCATACTGTTTTAATTACTATAGCTTTGTATGATAATTTGAAATCAGGAAGTGTGATGCTTTCTTTCCTCAGGATTGTTTTGGCTATTTGGGGTTTTTGGGGGTTATATGAATTTTAAGATTTTGTCTTTTTGTGAAAAATGCCATTGGAATTTTGATAGGGATTGTATTACATCTATAGATGACTTTGGGTAGTATGAACATTTTAACAATATTCTTCCAATCCATGAATATGGGATATCTCTCTACTTGTTTGTGTCTTCTTCAATGTCTTTCATCAAGGTCTTGTAGTTTTGAGAGTATAGATCTTTCACTTCCTTGGTTAAAATTGTTCCTGTTTTATTGTTTTTGATGCTATTATGAATGGAATTTTCTTTTTTAGATATTTTGTCGTTAGTGTTTAGAAACACAACTGATTTCTGTATGTTGAGTTTATATACTACAACTTTACTGAATTGATTAGTTCTTTTTTTTTTTAAGATTTTATTTATTTTTGAGAGAGAGAGAGCACAAGTGGGGGCGGTAGGGGCAGAGGGAGAAGCAGACTCCCTGCTGAGAAGGGAGCCTGATGCAGGCCTCGATCCCAGGACCATGGGATCATGACCTGAGCCAAAGGCAGACGCTTAACAGTCTGAGCCACCCAGGCACCCTCATTGATTAGTTCAAACAGGGTTTTTTTTGGTAGTCTTTAGGGGTTTCTTTTTTATATATATAAGATCATATCATCTACAAAGACAATTTTACTTCTTTCTTTCCGATTTGGATACCTTTTCTTTCTTTATCTTGACTCAATGCTCTAGTACTATGTTGAATGAGAGTGGTGAGAGTGGGAACCTTTGTTTTCTTTCTGATATTAAAGGAAAAGTTTTCAAGCCTTCACTGTTGCATATGATGTTAGCTGTGGGTTTGCCGTATATGGCCTTTATTATATTGAGGTATTTTCCTTCTATACCCAATTAGTTGAGAGTTTTTATCATGAAAGGATGTTGTATTTTTCCAAATGCCTTTTCTGCATCTACTGAGATGATCATATCATTTTTATCTTTCATTCTAGTAAAGCAATGTATCACATGTATTGATTTGATATGTTGAACCATCCTTGATTCCCAAGAGATAAATCTCACTTGATCACAATATATGATCCTTCTAATGTGCTATTGAATTCAGTTTGCTAATATTCTGTTAAGAATTTTTGCATCGGTATTCATTGGGAATATTGGCCTATAGTCTTATAATCTTATATATCTGTCTGTGGTATTAGAGTGATGCTAGCCTCGTAGAATGAGTTTGAAACTATTCCCTCACCCTTGACATTTTGAAGAGTTTAAAAAGGATTGGTGTTAATTCTTCCTTAAAAGTTTGGTAGAATTTACCAGTGAAGCCATTTCCTCCTAGAATTTTCCTTGTGGGAGGTTTGATTACTGATTCAATCTGTTTACTTGTTATTGACTGTTCAGATTTTTTATTTCTTCATGATTCAGTCTTGGTACATTCTATATCCAGAAATTTACCCATTTCTTCTAGATTATCCAGTTTGTTGGTATATAATTGCTCAGAGTAGTCTCTATGATCTTTTGTATATCTGTGGTATCAGTAGTAATGTCTCTTCTTTCACTTGATTTTGAGTCTTCCTTTTTTCCTTAATCTAGCCAAAGATTTGTCAGTTTTGTTTCTTTTTTTATTTTTTTTAAATATATTTTTTTAAGATTTTATCAGAGAGAGAGAGAGACAGAGGCAGGCAGAGTGAGAAGCAGGCTCCTTGCTGAGCAAGGAGCCCGATGTGGGACTTGATCCCAGGACCCTGGGATCATGACCTGAGCCAAAGGCAGAGGCTTAACCGACTGAGCCACCCAGGCGTCCCTGTTTATCTTTTTTTAAAAAGAGCTCTTAGTTTTGTTGATCTTTTCTATTGTTTTCTGGCCTCTATTTATTTCTGTTCTGATCTTTGCTATTTTCTTCTTTCTCTTAACTTTGGGTTTAGTTTGTTCTTTTTTTAGTTCCTTAAGATATAAAACTAGGTTGTTCAAGATCTGAGATCTTTCCTTTCTCTTAATCTGGGCATTTATTGCTATAAATGTCCTCTTAGAACTGCTTTTGCAGCATTCTATAGATTTTGATATGTTGTGTTTCCATTTTCATTTGTTTCAGGATATTTTTTTCATTTCCCTTTTGATTTCTTCTTGACTCATTGGTTGTTCAGGAGATTCTTCTTTTTACTTTTAAAATCACTTTTGTCTACCTTGGTTGATAGGTACATGGACAGAATGGGAGGGTGATTTGGCCATATCATCAGTAACCAATGGATTGTGGGTGGATTTGGCTGAGGGTCCAAACAGGCCAGGTCAAACAGGTAGTAGAATATGTAAACAAATAATATGGCTAAACAGAAAATCTGAGTTACTACTGCTATGTGAACCGCCTCCCCCCCCCCCCCCCCCCATAATTGGCATCCACAGACTTGTTAGGCTTGAGGACATCTGGGTTGTGTAATATTTGGTTAGTTTTCTTAATTTTCTTCTTCACGGCTGTCAGGAGGCTTGGATAAGTAATGTGGCTGAAGCTAAGGTACATTTCCGTCAAACCCAAGGATAAATTCAAATTCATTTCTTCAAAAACAAAACCTTGAGACCAAGAAACTGAAAGGAAGCTCTTTGGTTTAGAATGTATGCTCCAGGATAAAGAGAAGTATGCATTTTATTTAGAATCTCTCCACAGAATTCTATCTCCTAACTACATTTGGATTTGCAAAATTTGCAGAATAAAACAGACAGACCAGCTTATGGAGAATTACAAGGTAGAAGTCTGTTTTTGTGTTCTCACACTCTGTTTCCTCTTGGTCTCCTCTGCCAGGGTGCACACCACCTGCCATCAGCCCCTTGTCTCAGTGCCATCCACTCTTTTCCTTACTGGTTGTTAACCAGTCCCCACCAGGGAGCTGTCCCTTACCTAATGTTTTAGTTGATACTGACTTGAAGTGTGGTTTCTTCTAGATGATGCTGCATTTAGGACTCTTGACAAGAAGAGATGTTTTTACATTTGGAGAGTGGACCTTCAAAAAGCAAACTTGTGGTCTTGTCTACTCTCTCCTCTCCTATCATCATACTTGTAACTCTTAAGGACAAGCCCAAAAAGGATCAAATGGGTTAAAAACAAAACAGAACAGAAATTTGATGGCATATTAGATTCCATGCAAATATTTTTTTTCAACAGATACTTACTGAGCATTTCTGATGTTCTGGATATTGATTTAGGCACCAGGGAAACATAACAGAAGACACACAGGGTCTTCGCCCTCAAGGACCTTGCAGTCTAGGAAGCTCACAGAAAAAAATGCAATATACAACACTGATCATGTGCCAGCTATCCTCCCAAAGATTTGATAATCTCATATAATGACTAGAAAAACACTGAGGTATTTACTATTAATTTCATTTTACTGAGGAAATTGACCTAGATACAGTAAATAACTTATCCAAAATTACAAAGTTAATATGGCTCAACCATGCCAACCCAAAACCAAAAACAGATAACCACAGATCTAGAATGTAGAGCCAAAGCTTGTATAACTCCAAAGCCTGTATTTTGCTTTCTGTGTCACACTGCCTAAAGTAAATTCAATTTTGATTAGATGTAGAATTATAAACAAACTTACCAAACTGAAAAATTAAACATCTATTAAGAATTTCAGGTATGTCTAAGTAGGCTCTACACTTGTGAATTCTCCTCATCATCAGTCCAACTCTAAGAGAGAATTGGTTGTGGTTTGCTACTCTGAGGAGCTAGGTTCCTGTCTCAGTCTATTTCATGTTATTAATGTTGATATATCATTCTGTTGTATTTCTTTGTTTATTCCTTGGGTTAGGCCTTGTGTGCTTGTATTTGATATGTAAATACACTATATACTTTATATATTTGCAGAAATACTATTATAAAAAGCTCTGTGAATGTAATACTATTCATATCATTATTCTCTTATAATAAATCCTCATGTTATTCCTCCATTTTCCCCTTCCTCTCCATTTTTTTTTTTTGTGTGTGTTTTCCTGTTTTGTTCTTTTCTCTTCTACTCTTCATTTTCTGCATTCTGCATAGTCTTGTTCTGGCTCTCCATGTTGGCTACTGTGCCCATTCAAGTAATAACACTCCACAGCTATTGCTTCTTCACTTCCCCTTTCCTTTGTTTTAACCATCAGTAAGCATGTAACCTTTTTTCTTTACTCCCCTAAAACTGCTGGATTCCATGCTCATCCATAGAGTTTTCTTTATTCACTTATGCCATCAAAAAAAAAATTATTTCAGTAGGAAAGAGCTACTTCTACACAATGCTACTACTTTATTTATTTATTTGCTTTATTTTAAAAGCACTACTAAAAGTAGTGTGGTAGTGGCAAAAGAATAGACACACCAATCAACAGAACAGAACAGCTGGCCCAGAAGCAGGCCCAGGAGGCCCAGGAACTCAATATATTTTCAAAGAAGTATCAAAAACCAATGGGAGAGACAGATTATTCATTAAGTAATGTTGAGAACATTTTGATATTTGAAAAAACCTATCAGATCATCACCTCACATAACACACTAAAACGGCTTCTGGATTTAAGAATTAAAAGTAAAAATAAAACTGCACAAGAGGAACAAAACTTAAGCTAAAGGAGAAGGATTTTTCTAAGCATTAAGGCAATGTAAGAAATAAAAAAGAGGATTGGGGGCGCCTGGGTGGCTCAGTTGGTTAAGCGACTGCTTTCGGCTCAGGTCATGATCCTGGAGTCCCCGGATCGAGTCCCGCATCGGGCTCCCTGCTCGGCAGGGAGTCTGCTTCTCCCTCTGACCCTCCCCCCTCTCATGTGCTCTCTCTCTCTCATTCTCTCTGTCTCAAATAAATAAATAAAATCTTTAAAACAAAACAAAAAAAAAAGAGGATTGGTTAATAGATTTCACCATAAAAATGAACATACTAACATGACCAAAATTCATAAAAATAAAAAATAATATGCAACTAATGAACCACTAAATTCTACCTATGAAATAATAATGCACTATGTTAAATGGATTTTAAATAATAAACTAGGAATAGTACTGCTGTAAGTCTGATAAAGGATTATTATGCTTATTATATAAAGAACTTCTACACACAAATAAGAAAAAAATGCTAAGACTCCAAGGGAGAAGTACACAAAAATAATAGCAGATAAGTTTACCAAGTGGAAACACAATGAATAATATTAAATTACTAAATTATTTTCAGCCTCCCTGGCAGTTAAGAAATATAAAATAAACTGCTTGTTTAAAATTTGCAAAAACTTTTTATAAATAACACTTCAAGCTGGAAAGACTGTCATGAAATGAGCACTCTAGCTTTTAATTGAAGCATAACTTTGCCTAACCTTCTGGAAAAAAATTCAACTATTAAAATATGGATAAATTCCAATACAATATTTCCTATTTCAGGAATCACTCTTGAGGATAGATGCTGTCACAATTAAGTACAAAGATGTTCATATTAGCATTGCTTATCACAGTATTAAGAAAGACCAAAAAGAAGAAATAGAATGAAATGTTTTGCCTAATAGTATAATGGTTAAATTATGATATCTATTTGTTGAATATTAACACAGCCATTGGCTTGCACTAAAAAAAAAAAAAAAAAAAATTAAATAAAGGGAAAATTTTATGATACAGTGACCATAAAAATCAGGAAATAAAGTTGAATGCTAGTATAATCTTGTTAGGTAAAATATAAATGAAATGCATCAAATATTAACTGTATTTTCTGCATTGAGGAATTATGGACAGTTTTTGCTTTCTGTATTTTTCTCTATTTTCTAGGGTACTTTTTAAAAACAATAGCTATACTTCTTTCTTAACTTTGAACAGAATTTTTTTTTTTTTTTTTGAGAGGGGGAGAGAGAGAGAGATAGGCAGAGGGAGAGGGAGAAAATCTTAAGCAGGCTCCATGTCCAGTATGGAGCCGGACGTGGGGCTCAATCTCACAATACTGAGATCATGACCTGAGCCAAAATCAAGAATCGGACACTTAACTGACTGAGCCTCCCAGAAACAGAATTTTAAATAATAAAGCAAAAAGGCACAGTGGACCATAATCATCACTCAGTCATGAGATAGAAATTTCAGTTCAGGCTTCACTGTTTTGAGTTTAGTAAAATTTACTACATATGGAATGTGCTTATTTTCCTGAACCTGTTGATTTAATAAATATATTTGATTTCCGTGGCCTCTGGATGTAACATATTCCCCAAAATGCCACCTCTGCATTCTTTTATTTAAATTACAGAAATCAGATACTTTGAAAGATGATCAATGACTTTGAAAGGTTCATATACTAATTTTTTTTTTTTTTTTTTTTTTCCCAAAGAGTTTATTTGAGCAGACCTGGAGACTATACTAAATTTTTTATAAAAGATTCTAGAATCTTGCAATCCCAAGTGGTCTGTAGACTGGTGTTATCATCAATATCGGCAAACTTGTTGGAAATGCAGAACCTCAGGTCCTACCCAACTTACTGAATCAGAATCTGCGTTTTAATAACATCTCCAGTTAATTTATAGGCACAGATTTGATAATTACTGATCTAGAACACATATTCTGGTTCAAACTACATGTCTACAATGTAACTATGTTCCTCCCTTGAAGCTAAATCTATGTTCATGTCCTAAGTACCAAAGAAATATCTTTGTGGTCTATGAGCTCTAAACATTTTCTTAGAACAAAAGCAGTCTCAGGGTGCCTGGGTGGCTCAGTCGGTTAAGCGCTGGACTCTTGATTTAAGCTCAGGTCATGATCTCAAGGTCGTGAGATTGAGCCCCATTGTGGGGTTCTGTGCTTGGTGTGGAGTCTGCTTGTCCCTCTCTCTCTGCTCCTCTCCTTGCTTGCTCTCTCAAATTAATAAATAAAATCTTAAGAAAAAAAAAAGCACTCTCCAACAACTGAATGGGATATGTTCTAAAAATCTATTCGTAGGTAAGTCAATTGGTTACAACTTGCAACATACAGTAATATTATTAATACTAAACATCTAGGTCACCCTACAGAGTAGCTTGGTTAATCCACAATGTAGCTAAAGTGGGCCAAATTGCATTTTAATCATTGTTTTTGATGGGAAAATTTGTTCCCAGTCCTAACAGAAGAGTCTAGGAAAGCCTGATCCTGCCATCAATACAGCACTTTCCCATAGATTCAACCATGTAGACAACTGGTAGAGCTAATAGTCTAATTCTGAGAGTGTTGTAGATACAAGAATAAAATAGATAGAAAAGACAGGAATGCTAAGTGTTGCTATTGACTCATTCATGTTGTCTCCCACTCTTCATTTTTACTAAGAATAGACATTGGCAAGATTACTTATCTTTAGGGGTTTGGAGGAACCCTCATCCTCGGACTGAGGGATTTAACCTTTCCAAAACTGGTATGGCTTCATTAGTATCAACCTATAACGAAAGAGTTATAACTGAATTCTCATTAAGAGTATTTTCTTTGCTTGTCCACTCTTAAAATGCAGTTCTGGGGCGCCTGGGTGGCTCAGTCGGTTAAGCCTCTGCCTTCGGCTCAGGTCATGATCCCAGGGTCCTGGGATCGAGCCCCACATCGGGCTTCCTGCTCCACGGAGAGCCTGCTTCTCCCTCTCCCTCTGCCTGCCTCTCTGCCTACCTGTACTGTCAAATAAATATATTTTTTAAAAATGCAGTTTTGTCTTACACAAAATAATTTGTTTGAAATAGACCTGAAGAGAGGGATGTAAACAAATTTCAGTGCACATTGTTTTCATGAGGTATTTAAACCATGATGTTATATTCTCCATATTTCAGACATTTATGGCTTCATTGAGATTCATTTTCTGTAACATTTTGAAAATAAAAAAGGTACATTGATTTATACTTTTTAAATTATACTCCCTCAGATTTTCTTATATATTCTTATTTCATCTTGAGAATTCTTGTTGCAACAGATATTTCAGAGTAAGAATATACTCGGTAGGCATTTTATATTAGAAGTACTTTTAAAACACCTATTTTAATAGAAAAATTAGAAAATAAAACAAACGTAAGAAAATTATAATGCTCTATTAATTCCATATCCCAAAGGTAACTTACAAAATTCTACAAATAGCTTTTTTTTCTTTAAAAATGGATCAATATTCCTAGTTTTGGAAACTGCTTTTCACTCAACAATGTATCATGAATATGTTTTTAATAGACTTCCACCTACTTCAATAAAGTTCTAAAACATTTTCAATGGTATCATAATATTCTTAGAGGATACATTTATTAAAACATTTGGGTTGTTTTCCATTTTTTGTTCTCATAAACATTTATAACTAAATCTTTTCAAGACTAGACCCTTTTCATTAAATAATCAAAGTGGGAGATAAACTTCCAAAGATAGCTAAGTTATGATCTGTTGTAGTGCAAGACTATTTAATAAGGGAGTATGTTTTGTTAACCATTACATTTTATTTAATCATGGTCACAAATGAGCTTTTATGCTTATTGTTCACTTCTTTTCCAGTTTTTCCATCTATTTTTCATTAGATACTTTTTGACTCCTGTATCACGGTAATTCTCTTCCTTTTGGACCTGGCAAAAACTGGGTATTTCTTGTGCTCATTTTGATTTTCACATAAGAGTTTATGATTATTGGGGCACCTGGGTGGCTTAGTCAGTTAAGCGTCTGCCTTTGGCTCAGGTCATGATCCCTGGGTTCTTGGATCAAGCCCCACATCGGGCTCCCTGCAGAGCAGAGAGCTTGCTTCTCCCTCTCCCTCTGCTGCTCCCCCTGCTTGTTCTCTCTCTGTGTGTCAAATAAATATTTTTTTAAAACAAGAGTTTATGATTATCAGAATACTTTTTGGGTAGATTCCACACATTAGGTGGAACAGCCTCGTGGATACACTAAGTGTCCAATGGGAAATCTATAAGATGTGGGTGAATACTGCAACTAGTAAAATGAAAAGGTCTATTGAAAATAAAGGTACATTCTTTTTTATATATGTATTTTGCTTGTATGTTGAACTGTCACCCAAATGTACTTAACTTCATTGGACAAGTATAAGGCTTGCCGATTTCCAATTTTGGCAATTCTAAATTCCTGGTAGCCATTCTGGAGCTGCTATTATTTATAGCGTAGTATGATTAATTTTGTTATTTTAAGTTTAGCTAAATTTGTTCTAATATGCTTTTCCCCAGTCCAAATACATTTCACCTTTTAAGTCTTAAAAATGGACTTGGTAGGATCAAAAGGGTATTTAACCACTAACTATTGTGGTAAGAACCTAACAGTTTCAGGCAATGTAGAATTTAAAGGAAACCCTGAATAACAGTCATGTTATTTAGGATCGTATCTACAAACCTTTTTCCGTCTTAAAACATGTTCAGTCAAAAACCCCCCACAGGTTTGGGGGGCTATTGACAGAGAATGAGAAGCACAAGGGAAAGGTATTTAGCCTCTGTCTTCTAGGACTCCAGATTTCAGAATAAAGAAGTCACATTTTGTTTTAATCAAACATTTTAGAAAATAATGTTAGAAAAAATTTAAAGCTTTAGAGAACATAATTCAAATAGATTCAAAGATGCAGAATTCATCAGATTATATTCCGGAACCAGTATGACTTAATTCTCCCTAGATTTTACGAATCTTTATTAAGAGAAACCAAACTTACTGTCCAAAGTGATAACATATCAAAGAAATACATATCAAAATATGCTGCCATTATTAATAGTTCTTAACATCTTTATTGCATTTACAATGTGTGGAACATTATAGGGATTTACAGTAGAGGCCAAATATCCCAGCCCTTAAAAATTGAATAGGAAAGATTGGATGAACCATACATAAATATCTCTGAACACAAGCATTAGAAACATACATATGATTATAATTTTACAGGCTTATACAAGTAACTGCTATATGTAATATAACAGGCAGGAAGGGTAAAACACAGCGAATAAGCAAGTCACTAGGGTGTGAAATAACTATAGCTAGGTGGTACTAAACAAAAAGACAACACAGAAGATATGATTTGTAAAGCCTAAAATGTCCTGTAAAAACATAGCTATCCCCTATCACAACTGTGAGGTAGAATTCTTCCCACCCCGTTTTCTGGTTTCTTGACCACCAATTGGGGGGCTTTCCCATCCAGATGGTTCTCTCTCACATTGTTGTACTCAGAACAGACTAGTAGTACACATTTTTGATTACCCCTTCTACCCCAACTGAACAGAAATAATCTTTTCTGTATTACAATTGGTCTTATTTCACCTACTGAAAACGGGTGGCAAAAGTTAGTAAAATAAACAAACCAGTGCTGTTTCTTCTAGCTAATATATCACCATGCTTGGGAAATGCTTTAATCTTTCAAGAAGTGAAACTAATGCTAACATTTCAGGCATAGGAACCCGTTGGGGAGCTGTTTTGGGCAGACAGGTATTTCTTTCCTCAAAGAACACCAACTGCCAACCGTTAACAATGCCATTTCTATCACAAACCCACTTCTAATATTTCAAATATCAATCATAAAAATAGTTTACACCTTTCTACACATCCAAAATATAGCGAAAATCCGGGACACAGTACAACCACATTAGAAAAGGTATAGCAGTTTCTTTTAAAACTACCTTATGACACAGGAATTCTAATCCTAGGTATCCACCCAAGAGAAATAAAAGCCTATCTTCACACAAGACTTACATTAAGAATAATCATAGCAGCTTTATTTATAACTACTAATGCTGGAAACAGCCCAGGTATTCATAAATAGGAAAATGGATAAACTGCAATATAGTCATACAATGGAATACCACTCAGCAATAAAAAGGAATGAACTACTAAAACACCTAACAACATGGATATATTTCCAAAAAACGGTAAGTGAAGAGGCTTCTAGAAAGAGTACATGCTGTGTGGCTCTATTTACATAAAGATCTAGAACAGATAAATTTGATTCTGGTAGACAAAAGAACAGTGGTTGCCTTTGGGAGGATGGAGTGGGGTCAAGGATTGACTAGAAAGGGCCAAAGGGGGATTTTCTGATAACATTTTATATTTTGATAGCACTGTATGCATTTTCCAACACTAAGAGATGCACACTTAAGATTCATGCACTTCATTGTATGCTAATTTTACATAAAAAATGTAGTAAGCACATACTGAGCTCTAGTTAATATGTATGCTGCAGTTATTAGTAGGAAAAGTGAAGATGCCTGCAATTGGATGAATTGATGGATGGATATGTGATAATGCAAGCAGAGTTAATGCTAACTAGCATCCAGGTGATTGATACACTGTAAAATTTTAATTTTTTTAGTCTAGTTTTAAAATTTTTATAAAATGTTGGAAAAAAAATTCCAGGGTGCAACACTTACCAAATAATGCCACTGAGAATTACATTATTGATCTCATGGCAAGATAATCATCAAATTCTTCTTAAGTGTCAATTTAGAAACTTAAGACCTTGTGAGGAGATATTCCTGAGTGTGAGGTGACCAATCAGCTCTCAAATCTATACTGGCTCAAAACTGTCAGTTACATTTTGATCCCCTCACACCTTCCAAAAATACACATATTGATCATATATTTTCAACAAATTTGTTGACTGTGTAGGCTAATGTAAGAGCTAAGATGAAGAAACATTCTTAAGAGAAACATCAAGCACAGAAATTTCTACCTGACTTCTAAACTAAAAAAGAACTACGGCAACTATAATAAAAGATGTGTAGACCCAAAACACAAGGTGAGGTTTGATCATACTGCACAGGACCCTATGTTCTGAGTGGAAGGACATCTGAATTATCCTCTGTCTCTCCAAGGAGGGACTCATCTGGGGGCGACCTAAAGTGATGGCATGTAACTTGTAAATACTTCTAAGGTGACTCCTTGAGATTCACTAAGACTGGCTTCAGACTTCAATAGCCCTTTGTCAGTAGTTTTCCACATGCCTGACTTAAAATCCATTAACAACACTGTGCGTATTACTTAGTGGCTGGTAACTATCTTCAGTTATTTGCTAAGAATTTCTATATAACTATATAGGGATATTATATATATATATAAAATATATATATATATATATATATATATACGGCACCTCATAAGGGTTCTCTAACAAAAGTAATCTTGATTCTTTAAGAATTTTACTCATTGCTTTCAAAACATGTAGTCACACTTCTGGCTTTCCTTTGACCTCTAAGCGCTTCATGTTCTAGTACAGGCTCTGCTTTTGTTGGAGCACATAGATTAGTGCTGTGAAGTTTTCAGGTTTGCTTTAAAATACTGCAGTCATGTTATTCAGGATCGTATCTACAAACCTTTTTCAGTCTTAAAACATTCCCCCGTATTTATGCTATTTCACAGAGCATCCCTAGTTCTAGCAGTCTATTACAGGACCAGTCTTTGTTATTATCACTGCTCGTTGATCAAGATTGCTCTTCTCTAACCGTAACAGTACTAATGGTAGTCTCAAGCCATGCCTGTTAATTATTAGGATACTTTTAACAGCTTTGTGCTTTTGCTGTTTCCACCAGCTGGTGCTGGCTGAGATCCACTCTGAGTATGACTTTTACTTACTTATTTATTAATGGCACTGTGTCATGTCCTGTCACCCCCAAAGTAGAAGATACTCCTCACTTGTCTTCCATCTCGCTGGTCTATCATCCTGCCATAAAAGAGTTAATCTGTCAGATTTAAAAGTCTTGTTATTTACTAATGAGCTCACTGACTCCACCCTTAGTATTTCCAGTATGTAATTCTGAATGTAAGGGAAATGGAGCTCAGAGAGGTGAGCATAGTGCCATTTCCCCCATGACCCTATGCTCATCATCTGAGACAAGAGTGACATTAAAGAATGTTCTATTTTTTATTCTGAAAAGATAATAATAATTCCTTCCACTTTGGATAATATTGTAGTTTTCAACACATTCTTAAATATGATTGTATTTACAAACCCAGAGACGTTTAGTCATTTTTACAAAGGTCAGTAAATGGCAAAGCCAGATTTTGAGTCAGATATTCAAACTCCAAACTTTTTCCATTATATTCACTACAGTTCTTACTTTGGCTTTCTTATGATCTTTATTATGCTTGCCATTATTTATGCTTCTTAGCTAAACCTAGACGTTTCTATAGCATACCCTGAAGACACATAATGTCAGATGTTAAATCAATACTTATTTTTGCCTCATCGAGGTATCTGTTGCCCTCCATATCAGAAGTATATTTTCCACTTCCAACTGAAGCTGTTTATTTTCAGAACTGAAAGTTAACACTGATAAGTTTACTAATTAGGGAACTAACTGGTCAGGTATGTTCCAGCCTATCTTCTTAATTCTAGGGAATTTTTCCTTTGGGGGTTTAACCAAAGATATCTCAACCACGTAACTCTTGTCACTGACGATATTTACTGATGTTAGTTTCCCATACCATTTTCAATAAGCTCAAAATGTGGAGGACTTTAGCAACCACAGCATGTTTAGTTCTTAGGAACCACAGGATTTTACTATGGTCCTGTGAGGATGGGAAGAGTACACAGCAATATCCAATCTCTCTGGCAAGGAACTTAAATGTAGTAGAGAATTCAGAGTTCTTCCTCTGACTGTAGGCCCTACAGTGAGTTACGTTCAGCTAATCTCACAATAATGCCATTGGTTACAACAGGTTTACAACAGAGTATGGTTTGCTCAGCACTATCAGAATGTAATCATCATGTTCACCTTAAAGCGTATGCCACCAACAATAACAAACTAAACAGCACACCCCATATTTCAACTGACAGGTAATGAAACAACACATCAATACTAGTTAACACTCAGGAGCGCTGGCCAATTTAAATGCCTACAAAGTGAGAGTAGTATCCAATCTTCTACACAGTAATGAAGCCTAGACCTGCCATCAACATCCTGGCTGGCGGACTGAGCAGTTTCATCACCATCATCAATGAGTCATCCTAGCAGAGTAAGGTCGACAACAATGAGGATTGGAATGAAGTTAATTTTATCCAAAATAAAGTTACCATCTTTGCATCTTAACTTTGCTGGGCCAGACGTGTGAAGAACAGATGTCAAGACTGTTATATACTGAGCTTAAAAAGGAGCAAATATACAATAAGAAGGCAAGAGGGAAAAAAATCCCCCAAACAAGAACGAACAAATAAAAAACAAAATAAAACTAGCCCAATTAACACTTCAAGAATTCCCTGAGATGAGCTAAAGTAATGTAGAAAGTTGTGGCATATACCAATAATGGCAGATAGAAACGATGGTTCTTTCTCCATTTGTGGGCCAACATTAATTCTTGATGTACAAAGAACTCATGCTTTCAAACAGACTGCAGTCACTTCCTTCACATGTACTCTAAGTAAACTCTAATGCTATGAAAAAAAAAAACACATTAGGGCATTGTTGGGTTTTCAGTCATCACTGAATACCCATATGTATTTTATATGTATGTATACATATAAAAGTAGCAGCAAATTTACAAATGAAGAGCAACAGTATCCTGTCAAAAGCATATTCAGTTTCATCTGAAATCCTCAAATTACAAATAACATTTCCAGATGATGCCTTATTTTACTCTTGCTGTAGGCTGGATAGCTTAAGGCATATTAAAAATTAACTCATTGGACAGTAAGTAGTCAAGCTGATGATAAAACTAAGAGTCCCATTACTTACAGTGCAGTTCCTTTCTAGCAAAGTCTTAATAAAAATATTCTTACTATTCTGAAATTCAGAATAGATCTTGAGTGTAGCTAAATATCTATATTACCTAATATGTAAGTATCTAAAATACCAAATGACTTCCTTATGAGTAGATTGATGAGTCAGTCATAATTTTAGGAAATATATTTAAAACACACTTCAGACTAAAAAACAGAGGGAATTATTACTAATGCCTACAACAGACCATTCACATACAGAGGAAGTGAGCAACTATGAGCAAAAGGCTGGGAACAGGAGAGTCCCACAAGATCCCTTCCCTCAATAGAGATTATAATGTAGCAGGCACAGACATCAATAAACAATTGTAGCATGTGGTTAGCACCATTATGAAAACTGAAATGAAGAATCACAAAAGTTCATACTCAGAAGTCCTAAAAGACTGAGAAGATATCAAATATAGAAGGAATTTCCAGAATGTTCTCAGAAGTAGTAGCAGCTTCTGGGAGGATTTTCTGACATGTTTGACTAGAAAAAAATTAACCAAAATTGCTCAGAGAGAAGAAAAGTGAAAAAGAGGATGACTTCATCTAGGCTGTAATGTTAAGTAGGTAGGTGAAAGTATGGGCCTGACATTTCGGACCAGATATGGAACAAAAAACACTGGGATAAAATAAAATAGAAACCCCAAGGATGAGATCCCTCCAGAAGCAGTCTGAAGACAGAATCTGAAAGCACATTTTAGTAGATACATTTTAAGAGTTATGTGACTGCATTCAACAGTTATGGCAGAGGATGACATCTTCAAGGGACAAGACACCATCTAGGAAAGGTTGCTCAATGGTGTAAATGTTGCAGAGACAGAGAAAGATAAGGAATGCATGCCAAAAGAAACAATCGTTCAATTCAGTAACTGAGAGCCCACTGAGAAGAGTTTCACTGAAGTGGCTGTGTAAAACCAGATTGCAAGGTGTTGAACAGTGAGCAATGAGGATGCAGGGGGAATGGATATGGATTTCTCCAAGAGGTCTGACAGTGAAGAAGGCTGGAGAAACCAGCAAGTTCAGCGGAAGTTTTTTGCATTGGAGGATACATGAACATTTTTGTGGACATGAGAAAGGAACCAGCATACAATTCTTTGCATAATTTTGTATTGATCACAGACTAAAAGATTTTAATTTTTTTCAAAAACAGTTTCTGAAATAAAAATTAACACAAAAAATATGTACTTTACTATTTAAACTTAATATAAACTTAAAAGCATTAAAATTTTATAAATTTTATTTTTAAAAGAGTTGTACAATTTTTGTTATTAGACTGCTTCAGAATTTTGCTTCTAGTCTATCATGAGAAATTAAATTTTATTAACATTTGCTATTTTCATTCCAGAAATATTCCTCTGATATAAAGGGTTACACTTAAGTAATTATGTATGCCTTCTTCCCCAACCCTCCTCCCCAAAGACAAAGTATCTTCAGAGTAGTTAATAATTTGGATATTTTTCAACTTGAAGAAGAGAACAATTAGAAATAGTATTCCATTATTTTTAAGTTCTTTAAGATCTAAATTGCTCTTCACAATTATTTTTCATAATTAAACATGCTTATTACATACACATGCTTACATATGAATTTCCTGGCTAAAACACATGCAGCCAACATGAAAAAACAAGTATTAAACCATCCTCACAATCCTAAGAATGCCCTTTGAAATAAGGCACTCATATTTGGAAATAGGATATAACCACCAAATTAAATAAGATGTTTAAAAGAAGACTTTTATTAAGCACAAACAACTTTTAATACATTATCAATACAAATAGGAAAATGTCTTTTAATGAATATGATATATCAAAGATCTGAAGGTTTTCTTCATACTGACACAATAAAAATAATCAATTTTGAAGAAGAATTACAAAGTAAATTTTTTGAGTACACCACTGTCTATTAATAACAATTTAACTATAGTCTAAATTTACTACATCACCTGGGGAGGAAGGTCAACCATTTTTTTATAGAGAGATTTCCTAAACTCTTATTAGCACCATTCAAAGCTTATTATCAGTTGTTCATCTACAAATTGACAGGTCAGGTAAAGCTTTAAAGCAAGTTTTCAGTGCAATGTTTACAGTTCCTTCTTTTAAGATACTTGGAGTCTATGGTCTCAAAGCAAGTTAAATAATGATGCCTTGGTAGTTGCAAGGTGTTAACATGTAGAAAGAAATGTAAAATGGAAAGAAATGAGGCTTATCCTGGCTGTGAAATGTATCTTAATGTATTGCGGCTAATGCTGTAGTATGCCAACGACATGCGGGATTATGAACTGCAGATATGTGGGAAGCTGGTAGCTATTAGCTCTCTGTGGTCATCATTTCGGGATGTCTCAGCTGCTGCCTTTTGAGACTAACCAGTTTCATCCTGTCTCTGATGTGTTCTGCAGTGGAAGCCATGTCACTTGGACTCCCAAAATATTGTTCAGTTCTAAAAATCAAAACAAACAGAAAAACCACAATCAGATTAATAGAAATCCACTGATCACAGCAAATGCAAAAGGGAGCAAAGATTACCATAAATACTATATATGTGATATGGCATTAGTTCATTTGCAGACCATACTGCTTATCTTTGGGTAGTAATTCAGTGGGAGAAACATTTTTAAATGGCATAAAATATATTAAGACATGTTGAGAGACAAACATTAGTGGTATTAAATGTCGTATCATATGTACTTATGATAATCTCAATAGATCAAAAATGCAACCAAACAATGAAACAATAAAGGAAACAATGCAACATTGGAGATATTCTACTTTTCAGTTTGGGGTACATAAGCATACACAAATATAAAATTTGTATGTGTTCTTCAAGGATAAGGGTTATGTACACAAAATGTCTAATATAGCTGGCAAGTAAAATATCTGATTAATGTTAAGGCATCATTTGGGACTTTTAACAGATAAAATCATTTAATGTTATCCCACTTGAAAAGATACTGTATTCAGAGTCACAGAATCTTTTAGAGCTAGAAGAGTTCTTAAAATTATCTGGTTAAGCTCTGTATTTTTTAAGATCAGAAAACTAAGGCCTAGAAAATTAAATGACTTAACTAGGATCACACAGTGGCAAAACCAACATTTGAACTGGTGTCTTCAAGTAATGAATCCAGAGAGATCATCTAATTTCTTTTATTTTTCCAGGACAATGTTACGTAAGATAAATCTGAATAAGCTTGCTGCCAAGCAAACTTTATATAGCATCAACAGGTTATCATATAAATGGAACAGAATAACAATTCCAAATATTAAAGGTGGTGGTTATGAAATCTGAATATACAGTACTAACTTATTTCTCAATCTTAAAAACATGAGGAAATGCTATATGGACTATTTGTAGAACAAAGGAGGAGAACTCCCAGCAAAATTCCTTGTTATAGATGTTCCTAGGCTGACCTGAGTAGAATGGAGATGGTGTTAACAACTGGTTATGAAGCACAGAAATGGGGGTGGGGACTCCCTAGAATGGAACAACCAGAAGGCACCCTCTAATACTGTTACAAGCCAAATTTATAAATTTTTAGATTTTATTCTTTTAAACACTGCAGATATCTAATTATGAATTTACGCTACTTCTGATGGTTCAATTTTGGCTATGACCAAAGATTATCTAAATGCAGACTATGAATTATATTCTTTCAAGGGAATAAAATTATATCTTCCTAAAATCAATTCCAAATAATCATTTGAAGTTCATGACACAATAGCAATGGCACTTATTATGTGTCAGATTGGGGTTTTTTTGTTGTTTTTTCTTTTTTTTAAGATTTTACTTATTATAGAGAGAGAGTACAAGTGGGAGGAGGGGAGTGAGAGAGAGAATCTCGAGCAGGCTCTGCGCCCAGCACAGAGCCAGGCTTTGGGCTGGATCCCACGACCCCGGAGATCATGACCTGAGCTGAAACGAAGAGTATGACACTCAACCGACTGAGCACCCAGGCGCCCCTGTGCCATATTCGTTTTAAGCAACTTATATACATTTAGCTCCTGTAATTCCCCTGCCCCTGTAACCTGAAAAGGTATGAATAATATGTCCCTATTTTTAGATGACGGAATTGAGGCACAAAAAGGCTGAGTGGCTTGCCCAAGGTGTTACAGCTAGTAAGTGGTAGAGTTGAGATTTAAACCCAAGAAATCTGATTCCAGAGTCCACAATCCTATCCATTACACTATACTACAGAGTAAGGATAGATGCATCCAATGATTGGTTTCTCTGTCATCTGAATTAAATATCCTCTGGATTACCTCTAAATTATTTTCACTGAGGTTGAGATCCTCAGGGATGAAGCTCCTTCAGATTCATTTACTGGCCCATTTATTTGCATGAGATTACTTCTTACTTTTATTATTAACTTTTGAAATGGAAAGCAATGTGGGAATCAGGACCCCATCATTTTACAAATGAAGAAATTCAGACTCCATATAGCATAGAGGAAAGAGAATGCGTTCGGAGTTGGACCATCCTGAGACTGTATCCCAATTCTACTTAGAAGCTGTGAAATCCTGAGCACCTCACACTTAATCTTTCTGAGGTTAGGTTTCTACATCTGTAAATCAGGAATAATCATACTGGTCTAGCACTGTTTGGTCAAAAATAATGAGGTGAAGTGTTTAACTTGATGTTTGATATAAGCTCACTAAACATTACACCCCAGCGTTCCCCTTCTCTGCCCTGGATGAAGCCCAGAGGCATCCTACTCCCTCCCATCAGAGCCAAGGCTAGAACCCAGGATACCAACCTTCTACAGCAAGCTGTCAAGAAGCACTGCATTTGACAGCAGCAAGTACCAACTGCTACTGCTGCTAAGAGCTGAGTTTGTATTTCTTTTCATTACAAACCAATTTATTGTGGAACTGAAGATGTGAACCAAAGCTAACTTACTTGGCTTTTTAAAAAACAGATTTTCCTCTCTTGATGATTTCACTTTAAGACCTAACCAATAAAAAGACAAAATTATAAGAACATGTACCATACCCATCAGGATAAACTACAGGAACAGTTAATCTATCCAAAAGTGATTTCCCAACTGCTTCAATTTCATCAAATTGCTCCTCATCATTAATAGCTTCAGGCTCTTCCGGACAGTCTTGCAAAATCTGCAACAAATAAAATGGCAACATCAATCAAGAGATAATAGAAAGGCAATCAAGCTCATGTGAATTCAGTAGATTGAAGGTATTTTTGTTTTGTTCTTAGCATCTCCATGTACACCATTGTACAAGATTGATTACTGGTGAAGTTGGCTCAAAAAACTCAAATAAAATGAAATACATAATCCTTACTAATAATATATAATTGGAGTACAAAAAGTCTACAGTGATTTCCAAGAAAAAAATAATACTAGACTACTATTCAGAAAGTAAGTTCAAACTGTGCTTAAGAAATATTCCTTCATTTATTCATTATTTATTGTACTAAATGTTTATTTAGCAGCTTGGGATGTGACTGAGATATAGAATTTGACCTCAAACAGCTTACAGATGTCAAAAATGAAAGAAAATATAAATTCAAAACAACATATACTCAGAGTACAAACACATAACTGATGGGATGACCTATATAGGCACTTTACAGTTATTTTAAAAAACTGATCTGCTGACTTACCTGATGTAAACTGATAAGGTTATAATTCAAATACAGGAAGTTCTACAGTCCTTGATAAAATACTATTTTCCTTACCTATTATCATTTAAATTTAACAAGGGGAGGAGAGGAAGAAAGAAACTGCTATAATTTATAACAGGTAAGTCTATAGGTATTGACCCACACTAGTCAATATAGTAGCAAGCCTAGTGAAGACTTGAAAGGTGGCTAGTCCCTCAAATTGAGATGTGCTGTAAGTCCAAGATACACACTAGATTATAAGAAAAAAACTGCAAAATGTGGGGAAGGGAGAAGAAAAAGAAGTATTTATTTTTGCAACTATTTTTGCATTATACTTAATCTAATCTGTTTATTTCAGCATTACTCATAAAAAACTTTATATAAAAATCTAGATTCAACTTAAATACTTTCCCAGTCATTATACTCTATAAGTTGCTTATAGTTATTATGATTATATTTATGCTTACCGGTATAAAACAAAATGCAATAAAGAAGAAAATAATATCTGATAACAAAAAGCTTTACAAAGGTTTGAGCAGTAAAGAACCTTAAATTGTGCTAATTATAAGCATGATAAAGGCCACGTAGCAGAAGAAAAAGGAACATTAATATTCTATGCAAAAAAACTCTCAACCATTTACATTCTTATATGGCCTCATAAAAAAGTCTAGATCTTAAAATCTCCTTGCAGATACATTTTAAGTTTTTACTTAAATTCCAGTCAGTTAACATAGTTTAATTAGTTTCAGGTGTACAATACAGTGATTCATCACTTGCATACACACCTGGTGCTCACAAGTGCCCTCCTTAATCCCATCACCTATTAACCCATTGCCCACTCACCTCCCCTCTGATAACATCTCTGTTCTCTATAATTAAGTCTGTTTCTTGGTTTGCCTCTCTCTTCTTCCCCTCTGCTCATTTGTTTTGTTTCTTAAATTCCACATGTGTAAAATCATATGGTATTTCTTTCTCCGACTGACTTATTTCACGTAGCTTAATACCTTCTAGTTCCATACATGTGGTGGCCAAATGGCAAGATTTCATTTTTTTCTAGCTGAAAAATATTCCATTGTGTATATACCCCACATCTTCTTTATCTATTCATCTATGGATGGGACACTTGGGCTGCTTCCATAACTTGGGTTACTGTAGATAATGCTGTTACCAACATCAGGGTGCATACATCACTTTGAATTAGTATTTTTGTGTTCTTTGGATAAATCCCTAATAGTGGGATTGCTGGATTTAAGGGTAGTTCTATTTTTAAATTTTTGAGGAAACTCCATACTGTTTTCCGGAGTGGCCTTGCAGATACATTTTGAAAGCAGTATCTTAAAAAGTTATCAGTAGTGTTAGAAATTGGGCCAGTAGTCACCCTTGGACAGGAGGCAGGGGCAGCAGGAACAATGTGATTAAAAGAGGGTGGCAGAACTTCTGGGGTGCTGGTAATGTTCCGTTGTTCAAACAGTGCGCTGATTTCACAGGCATGCTCACTTTGTGAAAATTCATTGAAAAGACCGAATTCAACAAACATTTATGATTTGTACCCTTTTCTGTGTTAATATACTTCAATAAAAACTTTTCATTAAAACAATCAGTATGGGTGCCTGGGTGGCTCAGTCAGTTAAGCATCTGCCTTCGGCTCAGGTCATGATCTCAGGGTCCTGGGATTGAGCCCCCCCATCGGGCTCCCTGCTCAGTGGGGAGTCTGCTTCTCCCTTTCCCTCTGCCCCTCCCCCTGCTTGTTTGTGCATGCTCTAATAAATAAATAAAATCTTTAAAAGAAAAATGAAACAATCAGTAGATAAACAAGTTTAAGCCATTTTATATACTTTCACCTTCATCATTGTTACGCCTATTTTAAACCAACCAAAACACTGACCTACGGAGTTCAGTGACCAGCTCAGCAAGAGTTGACTATAAACACTTTCCAACCGAAGTACATTAGAACACTGCCCAATTCCAGAGATTCCTGGTCACATCTCTTCTGTTCTACAGACAAGGCTATATCACATTTACATCTTCAGTTTCTCACATTTCATATTGTATTGAACATCCCCTACACAGAAACTTTCATTCTGAGAGATCAAAACAAAGTTAACTACATAACAAAGCTCCTCTTCAGAGTGGAAATGTAAGGATTGGTGCTATAAATTTTCTCTGTGCAGTTAAGAAAAGGGCTCGGGCGCCTGGGTGGCTCAGTCGGTTGAGCGACTGCCTTCGGCTCAGGTCATGATCCCAGGGTCCTGGGATCGAGTCCCACATCGGGCTCCCTGCTCTGCGGGGAGCCTGCTTCTCCCTCTCCCACTCTCCCTGCTTGTGTTCCCTCTCTCGCTGTGTCTCTCTGTGTCAAATAAATGAATAAAATCTTTAAAAAAAAAAAAAAAAAAGGGCTCTACTGAAAATTTGCCTAAATAACACTACATATTGCATTTTTGGTTTCCGGGACTAATGAATTCATTAAATAAATTCTAGAAAGTAACACATGAAAAAAAGGTTTTACTTTCATCTTTATTCTCATTATTTTTAGCTGGGTAGTCTCTACTTTAAACCTTACAAAATTACAAAGTGCCTTTTAAAAAATTTATGACAATTAGTTGCAGAGGCAAAATGTCCTTTCCTTGCATAATGAAAGTGATGGGAGTTGTGACACCCTAAAGATAGCTCATTCTGGGGGTCAGGTTTGGTAAGAAGAGAAGCACTATTGAGAGACGACTCTTAGATGGTTTTGGATTTCTCCAACCATAGTAAGCCAGCACCGGTATGGATTATACTACCCGAGAATTTGATTTGAACTCTCTAGGACAATATATTATATCTAAACAAACTTTAAACAATGGGATTAATATAAGTTGGAAAAAAACACAGGCTAATCACATAATTACAATATTAAAATTAATACATTTTAAACATATACAATAAATACTACTGAGACTACACTTTTAAAAAAGCGAACCTTTTCAGCATTTGAGTGAAATGCAATAGCCATTTCCAGCCTATGCACTCTCTCTTCAGATGCTATTGTAAATTGTTTCCATACTCTGTTCAGTCGAGGAAGTGTGTCTCCAGATGACCGAGATGTGCAGCGCAGAGACTGACACAACACAACTGTGGCCTGTAGCAACTGTCTTCCATAGTCATAAGTGCTCTAAAAAAGAAAAAGTAAACATGAAATTATAGTAAAAGAATTCTGAAAAGAGAGTCAGGAACGTGTGCAGGAAGGACTGTGGTTGCAAATAGGTAACACTACTGGAAATCAATCCTGAATGACTCCACGGCACTTACTACTACAAATTAACTGCAGGCATAAAAAAGGATGGGGAAACAATACTTTGAATTTTTTCTTTCTTGTTAGGCTTTGCTCTCTTCTTTTTTTCCCCATCTCATTCTTGTCAATTCCACAGGCCAAAAAGAATGTCTGATCATTCATTAGCCAAAACAAATGGGTGAAGATGGGCTCTTTATAGGTCACTTTTTATCCCATACAGGAAACCACAATTGTTCACTGAGAACTCAATTATTAGGGAAAATAAATTATGATACTTTTCACACATACACAAAATCTGTACTGTTAAACTAACACTGGTGAGATACAGAAACTGGGGTTTCTACTGTACTGATATTAACACATATTTCTTATTAACTTTTGTGAATTAACAGTTGGATTGCCTAAAAAATGGCATAATATAAAACATAAATCAGAGGGAGCATACAGAACCTGTATTCAGGAAAACATAAACCCTCTCAAGTTTATGCAGGCTACTTTTGATGCACCAGCTGACATTTTCTTAGTTCTGTGATATTTCTGGAATAACATAACTAACCTTCTTGGACTTGGAGGGTTAAGTTACATTATAATCATGCAGAAAGCTATTCAAACACTGAGCTTGTAGAAAAGGAAGATAACCAGTTCTGCACCTGTGCAACATCAACAAATTTTCTATGCTTTTCCAGTAAAACTTTCGTTTCCTGAGCATCATCACCCAATCTGATGTGGGTCTTAAGCAGGGCATCCAGAAGTTCACTTAGCCATTCTACTGCCTAAATAAAAATAAAGAACAGTGAAGCTGGATCCATAACTCTTATTATATCAAAACACCATATTTATAAAAAGAAATTTACTACCATATGATTAATTAATCTATTAGTTATAACCTAAGTGCTTAATAGCTTATTTCATTAAATGAAAGCTATATGAATTAATGACTTTTCCTCCCCCTCAAAATTTTTAAGATCTAAGGACAAGATACATTAAAGAGAAGCACTTTTTTAAAATTAATAGCACATGATTTATATTAATAGATCAAGTGTTCTCCTTAATGTCTAAGCACTGGGTATTACAGAAGACTGATGAATCACTGAAATCTACCTCTGAAACTAATAATATAACACTATATGTTAATTAACTGAATTTAAATTAAAAAAAAAAAAGATCATGTGTTTATATAATATGGATCTTACTGGAATCTAATTACAGATTTATGTTACTATTTAAAATCATAAAGTTCCTCTAGGTCAACCTGAAATGATGTTCTCTGATGCTAAGTACACAAAGATAGCATATGGCTCATCTAGTTGAAAAACCCTCTTGCAAGTTAAAAAAGCAATGTGCTATACCAGCCTTAATCCTAGCATGTAACTAACAAGTAAGTCAACAATAATAAATAATAAATAATCCCAATTTCTCACTCAATAGAGGATTTCATTGAGAAGATAAGTCAAATGAGACCAGTAAAATAACTGGAAGTAAAAAACCACTTTATTATTTTAATAAGGTAAACTAGAATTTGACTTAATCCATTTACTTTCTAAGAACCATGAAAAGTACACTTTTTTTTTTTTTTTTTACAGTTAGGTGAAATCAATCTTTTAAGAGAATACAACTACATCATGTGCCTGATTGATCTTTTACCTGGGCAGCATCTTCTTCACATTTAAACAACTGTACCATCTGAAGCATCTTTAACCTTCGCACATCTACCATGTCTTCACATCTAATAAACCCAAACATAAAGGCAGAACATCATTTCAGTTTCATTAATAACTATTTTAACATCATCATCTGGCACACATGTTTTGTAGTATATTAAAATACTTAATCCTATTTACCATGGAGACTTCAACTACTTTGTATTGATGTGTAAGAATTTTAAGGGTATCTGTTACATCAAAATACTTCAAAACTTCAAAATACCTGAAAGACACCTAACTACAAACCCTCTTGAGGATAGAATGGATTCTGGGAAATACTGAAGCAAAGCATGAAGTAGTACACTAAAACCCAAAGAAATCTCTGTTGCCAGTTAACATTAAACAAGCTTCAAAGATAAACATATAAAGTTTCTCAAATACTCATTTTGAGGATGATGCTCCAAGGAAATAAAACAAAAAAAGTTTTGAGGAAGGATACTGTATTGTAATTAAAGGGTCTATCCAACAAGAAGATCTAACAATCGTAAGTAATTATGCTCCTAATTTGGGAGAAGCCAATTATATAAACCAATAACAAAATTAAAGAAACACATTGATAATAATACAATAATAGTAGGGGACTTCAACAGTCCACTCACTGCAATGGACAGATCATCTAAACAGAAGATCAACAAGGAAACAAGGGCTTTGAATGATACACTGGACCAGATGGACTTCAAAGATATATTCAGAGCATTCCATCCTAAAACAACAGAATATACATTCTTCTCGAGTGCACATGGAACATTCTCCAGAACAGATCACATACTCGGTCACCAATCAGGTCTCAAATGGTACCAAAAGACTGGGATTATTCCCTGCATATTTTCAGATCACAATGCTTTGAAACTTGAACTCAGTTACAAGAGGAAATTTAGAAAGAACTCAAATACATGGAGGTCAAATACATGGAGGGTAAAGAGCATGGAAGTTAAAGAGCAAGTTAAAATGTGTCAATTAGGAAATTAAAGAATTCAAAAAATTCATGGAAACAAATGAAAATGAAAACACAACTGTTTAAAACCTTTGGGATGCAGCAAAGGTGGTCCTAAGAGAGAAATATATAGCAATACAAGCCTTTCTCAAGAAACAAGAAAGGACTCAAATATACAACCTAACTTTATACCTAAAGAGCTGGAGAAAGAACAGCAAATAAAACCTAAACCCAACAGGAGAAGAGACTTATCAAAAAGAAAAGAGAAAGGACCCAAATGAATAAAATCATGAATGAAAGAAGAGAGATCACACCAACACCAAAGAAATACAAACAATTATAAGAACATATTATGAGCAAATATATGCCAACAAATTAGGCAATCTCGAAGAAATGGATGCATTCCTAGAAACGTATAAACTACCAAAACTGAAACAGGAAGAAATAGAAAACCTGAACAGACCCATAACCAGCAAGGAAATTGAAGCAGTAATCAAAAATCTCCCAACAAACAAGAGTCCAGGGCTGGATGGCTTTCCAGAGGAATTCTACCAAACATTTAAAGAAGAATGCCTATTCTTCTGAAGAAATGGAAGGAAAACTTCCAAACTCTTTCTATGAGGCCAGCATTACCTTGATCCCCAAACCAGACAAAGACCCCACCAAAAAGGAGAATTACACACTAATATCCCTGATGAACATGGATGCCAAAATTCTCACCAAGATACCAGCCAGTAGGATCCAAATGTACATTAAAAGGATCATTCCGGGGCACCTGGGTGGCTCAGTCAGTTAAGCGTCTGCCTTCGGCTCAGATCATGATCCCAAGGTCCTGGGATTGAGCCCCCCATTGGGCTCCCTGCTCAGTGGGGAGTCTACCTCTCCCTCTCCATCTGCCTATTCCCCAGCTCATGCTCACTCGCTCTCTCTCTCTCAAAAATAAATAAAATCTTTAAAAAAATTAAAAGGATCATTCACCACGACCAAGTGGGATTTATTCCTGGGCTGCAAGGGTGGTTCAACATCCACAAATCAATCAACGTGATACACTACATTAATAAAAAAAGGGCAAGAACCATATGATCCTCTCAATAGATGCAGAAAAAGCATTTGACAAAGTACAGCATCCTTTCCTGATTAAAACTCTTCACAGCGTAGGGATAGAGGGAACACACTTCAATATCATAAAAGCCATATATGAAAAGCCCATAGTGAATATCATCCTAAATGGGAAAAAACTGAGAGCTTTTCCCCTAAGGTCAGGAACACAACCGGGATGTCCACTCTCACCACTGTTGTTCAACATAGTACTAGAGGTACTAGTCTCAGCAATCAGACAACAAAAAGAAATAAAAGGCATCCGAATTGGCAAAGAAGAAGTCAAACTCTCACTCTTTGCAGATGACAAATACTCTATGTGGAAAACCTAAAAGACTCCACCCCCAAATTGCTAGAACTCATACAGGAATTCAGCAAAGTGGCAGGATATAAAACCAATGCACAGAAATCAGATGCATTTCTATACACTAACAATGAGACAGAAGAAAGAGAAAATAAGGAGTCAATCCCATTTACAATTGCACCAAAAACCGTAAGACACCTAGGAATAAACCTAACCAAAGAGGCAAAGTGTCTCTACTCAGAAAACCATAGAACTCTCCTGAAAGAAATTGAGGAAGACACAAAGAAATGGAAAAACATCCCATGTTCATGCATTGGAAGAACAAAGATTGTTAAAATGTCTATGCTACCTAGAGCAATCTATACATTCAAAGCAATCCCTATCAAAATACCATTGACATTTTTCACAGAGCTGGAACAAATAATCCTAAAATTTGTATGGAACAGAAAAGACCCCAAACAGCCAAAGGAATGTTGAAAAAGAAAATCAAAGCTGGTGGCATCACAATTCCAGACCTCAACCTCTATTACAAAGCTATAATCATCAAGACAGTATGGTACTGGCACAAAAACAAACACGTAGATCAATGGAACAGAACAGAGAGCCCAGAAATGGACCCTCAACTCTACAGTCAACTAATCTTCAACAAAGAAGGAAAGAATATCCAGTGGAAAAAAGACAGTCTCTTCAACAAATGGTGTTGGGAAACTTGGGACAGCCACATGCAGAAGAATGAAACTGGACCATTTTCTTACCCCATACACAAAAAGAGAGACTCAAAATGTATGAAAGACCTAAATGTGAGATAGGAATCCATCAAAATCCTAGAGAAGAACACAGGCAGCAACCTCTTCAACCTCGGCTGCAGCAACTAACTTCTTGCTAGATACGTCTCCAAAGGCAAGGGAAGCAAGGGCAAAAATGAACACTGGGATTTGATCAAGATAAAAAGCTTTTGCACAGCAAAGGAAACTGTCAACAAAACCAAAAGACAACTGACAGAATGGGAGAAGATATGTGCAAATGTCTTATCAGATAAAAGGCTAGTATCCAAAATCTATAAAGAACTTATCAAACTCAACACCCAAAGAACAAATAATCTGATCAAGAAATGGGCAGAAGACATGAACAGATATTTCTCCAAAGACGACATCCAAATGGCCAACAGACACACAAAAAGACGCTCAACATCACTCATCATCAGGGAAATACAAATCAAAACCACAACGAGATACCACCTTCATACCGGTCAGAATGGCTAAAATTAATAAGTCAGGAAATGACAGATGTTGGTGAGGATGTGGGGCAAGGAGAACCCTCTTACACTGTTGGTGGGAATGCAAGCTGCTGCAGCCACTCTGGAGAACAGTATGGAGGTTCCTCAAAAAGTTGAAAATAGAGCTACCATACGATCCAGCAACTGCACTACTAGGTACTTACCCCAAAGATACAAATATAGTGATCTGAAGGGGCACCAGCACCCCAATGTTTATAGCAGCAATGTCCACAATAGCCAAACTATGGAAAGAGCCCAAATGTCCATCTACAGATGAATGGATAAAGAAGATGTGGTATTTATATAGAATGGAATACCACTCAGCCACCAAAAATTGAAATCTTGCCATTTGTAATGACATGGCTGGAACTAAAGGGCATTATGCTAAGCAAAATAAGTCAGTCAGAGAAAGACAAGTATCATATGATCTCATTCATATATGGAATTTAAGAAATGAAACAGAGGATCAAAGGAGAAGGGAGGGAAAAATAAAACAAGATGAAATGAGAGAGGGAAACAAACAAGAAGAGATTTAATCATAGGAAACAAAATGAGAGTCACTGCAGGCGGGGAGACGTGATGGGATGGGGTAACTGGGTGATGGACATTAAGGAGGGCATGTGATGTAATGAGCACTGGGTATTATATATGATGGATGAATCACTGACCTCTACCTCTGAAAATAATAATACACCATATGTTAATTAATTTAATTTAAATTTTAAAAAGACAGTGAACAATGTAAGTGTCCAACAGAAAAATGAAAAATTGTGGAATATTCATGGAAAACATATTTTATAGCAGTGAAAAGACTGACCCACTCATGAATTATTGGTTTTAAGTCTCTCAAACATAATCTGAGCTTTTTCTTTAAAACGGCATTTTAATAAAGCTTGCAAATAAAAAAAAGTTAACACTTTTCATTATATTACATTACCCAAAGTAATATCTAATTTTGAATTTAAAAAAAAAAACAAACAAAAACACTCCATCTATGTTCCAAAGAGGAAAAAAAAACTCTATTGATCTCTGGGTGTAGAGAGACACAATTCAGTGTTTTAAAATTTTACAGTGATGTACAGATTGAACTTTCAAGGTGACTTTAGCTAACTCAGCTCTGATCCATTCCCTTCGTCCTCACGCAATTCCATGTACTTTAGAGGAAGGGGGACCTCACTACAGTCTCAAACACTAATGACCAGTTACCTAGAAGGCACTGAGCTCCACGACAGTCAGTGTTCTTAAAGAAGCTGAATAACAATATAGAAACCATTGTCACAAGGGTATTTTTTACAAGAATGACCTTTATAAAAGCCCATAACATAGTACTAAAATGAATTTGGTTAAAGTAATTCTAACAAGGGACTAAAAGGAAGTGATGATGAGAAGTACTTTTACAATCTGAAGGTAAACAATGTAAGACATTTTAATGATGAAGATGATATCATAGATATATTTAATGCATACTGTCAGGTGTCAGATAATGTGCTTCACAGTCTCAACTATTAGGTTGGTCCCATTTTGGGCAGCAGACTTTTAAACAAACAATGTGGTGAGTGCTACTGCAGAGCTATGTAAAAAGTTCTATGGGAGCGGGGAGGAACAAGTAACTAACATGCCTTACAAATCTGAAAAGCTTTCCAAAAATAAGTATCTCTGAGTCTTGAAAAATAAGTAAGAATCCACCAGGTAGAAAGTGAAGAAAGAAGTATTCTAAGTCATAGATTCATGAAACAGCACGATGCATTCAGGAAAATAAAAACAACTGTGTCTGTATGGGAAAGATGTAGGAGATAAGATTATGCAGGATTGAGTTATGAAGTCTCCTACACTATTTCAAGGAGACTGAACTTCATCTGAGAAAACAGGAAATCATTGAGCGGGGTTTTATGATTAGATATGCACTTTACAAAGATTATTCTCATGTACAACAGACTAGAGAGGATCAAGGCCAGAGGCAGGTAAGAGAGAAGATCTTAAATAGAAAATGTTCAGGATTCAGAGACAGCAAAACTTAAGATATTTGATCAGGCTATACAGGATGAGGAAGAGTATGATTTTAGGATAAATTCCAAATTTGGTAGCTAATGGTAACTTTAACCTAGATAGGAAATTAAAAGAGAAGAGCAAGTATCTGGACATACTAGGTTTCAGGAATGTGTGGGGCATCCACCCAGAGATACTAGTAGGCCAAGTGTAATTATGGGTTCAAAGCATAGGACAGGAGTCTGGGTCAGAACCATAAATACTCAATCACAATCAAATAAAAGAAAGTCATTCAAGTAGTGAAACTGTCCAGGGAGAACACATAGAATAAGAGGACTTGGCCTCAAAACAAACCCTGAAAGCAGTGAAGTTAGCTAGAGGACAAGAAACCAGTGAAGAAAACTAAGAAGAAACAGAATGCCAGGATCATGAGGGTGTTTTCAAAAGACAAAGTTGTCAGCTAGTTTCAAGAAGAAAAAGTCGGTTGTGTCCAATGCTATTCAGCGTGATCAAGCAATATGAAGACCAAAAGTACTCCCTGGATTTTGAGCAAGATCAAGTATTTATTACATGGTAATTACAAAGTCACTGGTGACATCAGTAAGAGCAAGTTCAGTGAAATGGTGAAGGCAGAAGTCAGACTGAGGAGGGTTGAAAAGTAAATGGGAGGCAGGGAGGAAATAGTATGAGTGTAGATTAGACCCTCAAATGACTTAGCTGTCAGGAAAGAGAATTCTAGGGCTAGAAGACAAAGAAAGGGCTGAAGAGGAAAGTATATGCATGTGTGTAATTTTTTTTTTAAATGAGAGACTTAAGCATTTAAATGAGAGGCAGAGATCAGAGTAGAGAACGAGAGTAGACAGGGAAGACATGAGGGTAAACTTGGCTTATTAAGAACAGAGCTATAGCATCCTTTGTGATTAGAATAAAATAATGAAATGGGTTAAGTTTGCAAGTGAGGCTAGAAGGAACTTCTGCCTAATGAGTATTTTCTCTGTGACACAGAGATAATTTGTGAGGTTTTGCTGATACCTTAAAATTTCTAAGTGTGCAAAAATTTCATACAACCATGCTACACTGTATATACTTTCATATATTAATTTAATCCTTTACTTTGTAATGCTCTCTCAGTTGCTACTGCAAATTGAATTTTCAAAGAATCCTGTAAATTCCTGCCTCTATACAAAATAAAACTAAATAGCCTCTTACCCAGAGTCTATTGTCTAATCCTTTCAGAGCAAATACGAGTACAAAGAATGCGTGACAATTTGTGAGTCAGAAGTTTAGATGAAGAAACTGATCTATGTAGATGACACATTTAATAGCAACTCTAAACCAAATGAAAATGGAAAAGCAAAATTCTCCAAAAAGGAGAAAAAGGGTTTTCTTAAAAGATGAAAGAGTCATAGGCTATACTGGAGACATGGAATACCAAGTATTTGGGTGCAAATGAAATTTTACCACTGAATTAAAAAGGGGAGAAGTAACATTAGTTGAACAAATTGTCATTATTTGTTAGTACAATTATATACAATAATTACACTCACCAAAACCTACTACATGCCTACTATATTAACAGGTTAGAACTTCTATTTTGTATGGAAAACAAATTTTATCACTTCTCATTTTATTATGTTATTTTAGCAAAAATTAACATTAACAGTCAAACTTTGCCTTTGTTTCCTAAGCTGCATATCTTCCATCACTCCTTGTATGTGGTCCACATTTTCTTTATTTTCAATGGTTACATCCTTTCCATAGGCCCAGGATGCCTGATTGGAGATCTGATCCAGAAGTCCTTGACCTTTTTCACGCAAACCTTGTAATCCTACATCTAAAACAAAAGTTCCTAGATTTAATCTCTTAAACAAAGGAGGTGCTTTCCCTCCCTCAAGTAAATCCTCTCAGCAGATATTGTACTTGGATTCCAAGCACGACAGCTTTGTACATTAAACTATCTTGGGATGGGGTTCTCTGAACACTTCAAGCAATAAAACCCTTAAATGTGGTTTCAATTGAGCTCCCTTCTCATGCCAAATTCTGCCTAAAGAGAATTTCCTAAAGGTTAATTTCCACTGATGATAATTATTTTTGAAAACTGAAAGCAGGAAGAAAGTGTGAAAATTTCTATTTTGGCTAGTAATATTTTTCAATTTGTTTCCTTTGTGCTTTTATGTAGTCCAATTTTTAGAACAAGGCAAACATTTTGTTCAAAATAACGTATAAGAGTTACAAAACTTCAAAGCATTCAAGCAATGCATTATCACTGAAAAAGGATGCTGAATATTTTGAGTTCAGGCATCTTCCAGCTTACACCTAACGAAAAGCAATATTTAGGATAGATTTACAGTATTCCAAACCAGACAAGCACACATGAATTCTTCTTTTCTTTTTTAAAGGAGAAGTATGGCTCTAGAAAACTTCTGATGCTTTGAAATAAACTGCATTTGGCAAATTAATTACAAAATACGTATTATGCCTATGTGTTAAAATAACAAAGGCTGCTAACAAGTAAAATACCCATACAAATATGATTTTTCAAATGCATTCCCTCAAATCCTTTTCAATAATTAATTAATTTGGTTCAATCACGTGTCACCACTTTCTACTAAATCTGTCTTACTTAGCTTTCTGCTTCCTGGCCTCCATTTCCCTTTGCCCTCCTATCCTACCCAGAACAACCCTCCGTTCCCATTTGTACATCCACTATCTCCCCTCTCCAGTCATGACCTAAGGAAATTCACTGTATCTCCTTCCTACTGTAGTAAAATGTAAAAGGCCTTGGTGTCAAGTGAAATGGGATCATCCTCCCCTTGGGAGAGTAGGTAACCTTGGCAATATTCCCAATTTGGAGAAACAAATGCACAGAACCAAACCGACTATTTATTCACAAGGTTAGGATATAGCAACAACAAAAATCATTGCATAAAACACAGTTTGGGGCATACAGGATTTACCACAGAACACTTCACAGCTAATTACAGCTTATGCATGCACTATAAATAACTGTTCATAGTATATGCAAGACATAGCACCTGTAGATATAGCTGGATAAAGAAGAAAGGCTAAAGGCCCAATGAAGGAAGGATGACTGACTATCAATGAAAAATAAACATTTTAGCACGTATTACACCCTTCAAGGGAATAAAACCTATTTTATACTAATTTTTCCTGTGTTTCCTATAAATAATTATAATTAGTTCAGTATAAGTTGACTTGTCTAACAATAGTAATGATATTTCTAAAAAAAGGAACCCTTATGTTTCAGCATTTTTAAAATCTGCTTACCAACACTTTTCAGCTTCTCTTCAAGCAGTTTTAAAGTCTGCTGAATCGATGCTCCATCAGCTGGTGCTACATCTACGCACAACATCCCTAATAAGCCATCCAACTGCTGAGACAACTAAAGCAGAGGGACACCAAAGAGATAACCCTGATGTAATCAGCATCTAAAGTGTTTAATGATTAATGAGGTTTACATCTAATGAGGTTATCACAATTACACTTGAAAAAGACTATGCTGTTAAAAGACAAGGACTAATAATTAGAATACATGTTATCTGAAAAGACAGAACAAATAGATGCATGCACCAGGAAAACGAAGATTTATATCCAGGTCAGCAGAATATAAGAAAGTACTGAATCTTCCATTTCAATCTATGTTATAAAGCATAAACAGAGAAACAATCAAAATGAAATACATCTACTAGGTTGGTACACTATTTAGACAAAAAAGGTTTAGTTGCATGCAAAATGACTTAAAAATGAAAATTAAAAAAAATCAAAGACTTTTATCATCTCCCCACAAGTAAATTATTTTATTGTTCCAGAAAAATAATTAGGAGACATGCAAACCTGCAAAATTTATGTGCAGATAAGTGTTCAGATCATTTGAAGAACAGAAAAGCAATCAGAGTACACTTACATCTTGGGCAACACCATGAAATTCAAGAGCTGCTTGTAAGAGATTCTGCCTAAATTCCAGCTGACTGGCCTGTCGATAGCAAACATCACTAAGTTGTTGCTGCAGTGACTTCAGTTCTACAAGATCTTCCTCATCCCCAGCATTTAAGAGTGCTGCAATTTGCTGATTAAGTTCCACATACACTGCAAACCATTCCTGTAACAGACATGTTGTAAATTAAGGATCAAATTGGCTCCTGAAGAACTACATTACATTTTATAATTCCTCCAGATAAACTAAGTAACATTTATGATAATTTTGTAAGGCAAAAATTACTTAAAGTGAGGATGAGAAGCCCTCAACCCCCAAATCCTTGCACATGACCCCCAGAACTCACTCTTGTCAACATCAATATCTATCGTATATCTTCATCCTGGTCTCTAAATGTTTCCTTTCCTTTCTTGTTCTACCTGAAACCTGTCCATCCTTAGAGAAAATTATTATCAGACCATTTCTCCCTCTCTCTCAAAACCCACATCTCCTTTAAAGTGCATGCTCTTGGATGACATCCTTCCAAACCTTTCCCATTAAGCACTCTCTTCCGGGGAGTTTGACAAAGGTCACGGCCCTCCTCTTTGGGCCAGCCTTCCCACCGACCCCCACCATGTATGCATCCACGCAGCACTCTTAACTCTGTACCAATTCCCTCTCTCACTTGCAACCATCCTGTCCCCACCCTACCTCAGCTACCTACTCCAGCACATGTGAATTCTTGTCATAATCATGTATTACTATACAGCTCCCAGATCTTCAAGAATCTCATTCTCCAGTCCCCAGCTACCGACTCTCTCATTCACACACTTTAGGACACTCACTCCTCCAACCCGATGAGATCGCCCAATCCACTGACCTGCTGCTTCATGGTCCAGCACTGAAGAGTCTCACGCCCTCACTTCTATCTTTGGTCAGAGGCTAGAATCACCTCTCAGAGCACAACCCATGCTCATGCCCTGCTCTCTTCCTTCCATCCAATCCACCTGTCAAGACCTCAGACCTGGTTTCTCTGCCTACTGTATACCTACACCAGAGTAGCAACATGCTTGGATAGTAACAACAATGCAAACAGCTGTCTTTTAAAAGTTATAGTACATATAAATATATAGACTCTCTCCATATAAAAATATATAAAGTGTATATAAATAACCTCAAATAGGCCTTCAGCAATCCTATTACATTTCTCTAGTCAATTCATTTTCCCCACTCTCTCATGATTATTTGTTTTCTTCACTCCTTAAATCTCAACTCCCTTTCCCCCTCTTCATTCTCAGCCAAAAATCTAACTTAATTCAATAGGAAGCAATCAGAAGAGAATTCTCATCTTCTCACCGACAAATCTGTGACCCTCCCTCTTTCTGCAGCCCTATGCTTTGCCCTCGCCACTAAAATAGCAGATGAACTGTCCCCGTTTCTCAGGCAGCCACATCACTTGCGCTATCTCTGTCCTCTGTTGCCTACACAAGGCTTTGCCCTTGCACTTATCTTCTCTCTCACATCATCAATTCATTCTTTTCAACTGGATTATATCCACCAGCATACAAATAAGCTGCAGTATCTTATATTAAAAAACAAAATATACACTTAAGATGTGTATTTTATGTAACATATATTACTCTACATAAATTAAACTTCAATTATCAAGACCAAGACCATCCCTTAAAGGAGTACCCTATACAAATTCTATCTTCTATTCCCCATTCTCTTTTTAACCCATTCTAATCAGGATTTTGTCCTTCCTGCTCTTAGCAAATTCTCAGTCTTTATCTTATTTGGGCCTTTCAGTTGCGTTTCACAAAAGCAACCACTTCCTCCTTGAAATGCCTTTCTCTATTCTTCCCTCAGACACAACAGCTCTGCTGGCCCTCCTTCTGCTTCCTGACCTCTAAGTTTAGGAGTGACCTGGGGTTCAGCTTTCCAAAGGCTCTTTTCTTCTGAATCAATACTCTTTGGGCTTGGATGAGTTCATCTAGTCTCATGCCTTTAAATAACATCTATATGCTGATAATTCCCACATTAATATCCTCACCTTGTCCCCTTCCCTGAACTCAACAGTGATACCCAAGTGTCTACTCACTATCTCCATTTGGATGAATATTAGACATCTAAAATTTACCCTGTCCCCGAAGCTACTCATTCTGTAGCTCCCAAGCTGCTTCTCTCCCAGTGTTCCCCAACTTAAGAGTGGCTAAAGCCAAACACCTGATTTTTCTAAGAGCAAGTCTTGCTGGCTCAACCTAAGGAATCTGACAACTTCTCATTACATCTACTGCCTTCATTCTATTAGTCTCCTGTCTTCTGTTTTGTTGTTTGTCCCTAGTCCTTATTTTCCATATGGTAGCCAGAGACCTTTTAAAAACATAAATCAGTTCTCTGCTCAAAAATCCCTCCAATGATTTCATGTAACATTTAAAATAAATGTCAAGGGGTGCCTGGGTGGCTCAGTCAGTTAAGTGTTGTCTCCAGCTCAGGTCATGATCCCAGGGTCCTGGGATCGAGCTCCACATTGGGTTCCCTGCTCATCGGGGAGTCTGCTTCTCCCTCTGCCTGCCGCTCCCCCCACTTGTGCTCTCTCTCTCTGAGAAATAAATATTTAAAAAAAAAATAAAATAAATGTCCACTCCCTTTTGTGGGCTAAATGGACATGATTTGGCCCCTGACTCTCAGAAACGTTGTTTTATGTGACTCCTTACCTTGCTCACTGCACTGCACCACCACCAACATACCTGCTGTTCCTTTGCAATGGCAAGTAAGCTCCAACCTACAGTGTTTTTACTTCTGTGTCCTCAATCTGAGCTGCCTTTTGCTTGAATTACTCCTTCATATCATTTCAAGGTTTCTGATTAAATGTGATCTCCTCAGAGAAGCCTTTCCTAAAAGCACTGCCTTACCTGCTCTCCACTCCCTCTTTCCCAATATGAATTTAAGTTCCATATTATAAGACAGTGCTAATATACCAAGAGCCTAGAACAACATGTGACATTTAGTATGTGCTCAGTTAATATGTACTGAATGAACATATAAAACACTTTACGTCAGACATTGTAGATTAGCCGACATTAAATTAAGTAGGTAACAGGAACTGCTCTAAATGTGGTCTACTCTTGTGGCCTGTACCTAAAACTTGGGTTTCTCTAATTTGTCATATTGTTTTATTGCTTGAACTACTATGAAATCTCTCAATATTATTATACAGACAATGTAGTCAGATGTAGAGAAAAGAACAATGGATTTGAAAGACGAACTCAAAGTCTTTTCTCCTTACAAAGGGTGTCATCTTCATTAAGTCACTTATCTCTCAGAACCTGTTTCTTTATAGCAGTGATTTTCAACTGGGGGCTATTTTGCTTCAGAGGGAATATTTTGCAATATTCAGAGACATTTTTGGCTGTCACAACTGGGAGGGCACAATGCTAATGCATCTAGTGGGTAGAGGCCAGTGATGCAGCTAAATTACCCTATAATGCACAGGACAGCCCCTACACCAAAGATCTACCTGGCCCAAAGTATCATAGGGCCAAGATTGAGAAGCCCTGTTCTGTACAACAGTGATGATATTATCTGTCTTATCTATCTTACTGGTTATTGTATAAATTAATCACATAATATTATCTGTAAAATACTTTTGAAACATAGAGTGATTATAAAGGTTAATGGAGATGGATTTAAAGCAGAAAATACAACTTGAGAAAAATATCACATTAGTGTTCTAAGATAGAAAGGGATTTCATAGTCTTCCCAAAGTACTTATAAATTTAGTTAATGCTCTAAATAAATAGATCCAATTCTTTGAAGAAGTAACAGTCATGATTCAGAGAAAAATAGCAGACTAAAGGATTAGCATCCAGGGTCACTATGTTTTACAGTAAGAACGATCTATATCATTTTACCAGGGGTGCTTACTAAAAATACCTAAGCTCCACCCCTGACCTACTAAATCAGAGTCTGTGGGCATATGGCTCTGCAACAGGCAGTTTAACAATCACTTCAGGTGACTTCTAGGACCACTAAGGTTTAAGAACAACCATCCTAGAATTGATTTTTTCCTAATCTTAATCTGTAAAATAAAGGCCCTAGTAACCAGGACAAGGATGCAAACAATTTAAGAACCAGTATTTTTCTTGAAATTAACACTTTAAATTAAAGAAACTCACATTAGGAACTGAGGTTGTCCTAAAGAAATAATCGGTCTCCCTGAGATGTAAGGAAAAAAAAATCTGGCATGCACAGACACACACACACACACACACACACACACACTCTCTCTCTCTCTCTCTCTCTTCAAATTAATCAAAATGTTTCTTCCTAGGAAATAGGAGAATATAAAATTTATAGAACCTTAGGCGAATAGGCTGCATTCAGTTCAGTTTTGGCCATCCTCTGGCCCACCTTTTATGAACATTTAACTGCATAGAAAAAAAAAATCAATTCCAAGACATGTAATTTAGAATTAGATGGTAGGTAAGATGAGCTTGAATGCTCACATACTAAGACAGAGGTAGTCATCAGTATTGACACTGGAATCATGCGGGAACTGGTGGTGATGCACAGCTGGTGAAGTAATGGGTATTTATACTTAAATCAAGAAACAGGAATCCCAATCTAGGAGGAAAGAAACACTGCCAGCTCACTTAATTAAAGGTAGTATGTTGGTGAGATAGGTGCTGACTCTTCATGTACGTCTGTTTTGCTGCTTACTATTAGGCACAACACAACAGTGTTCTCTTTGAAGACCAAAAGTCAACATTGTGAGATGGGAGATATATGAATGGAATCCTAAAGCTTCAGAGATTTATACTTCTGCACATTCCTATGATGTGTTTTTCCTAACAACACCTACCTCAACCCAAAAGATAAAATAAGATTACTGAACTAAAACACTTTAAAATGTATTTTAAGTATAATCATTTTCTTCTACCTCTGATATTTTTTGTTGTGCTTACCTCGTATTAAAAAAACAAACTTTATGACACTCCTTGACAAAGAACTACATATTGCTAAGATTCTCATTTTCTGCATATTAATACTAAATATTCTAATAAATTTGGGAAATTTTTTAGTTTTATGAATTATGCTTTTATGAAGAATCTAAAATTTAATACTTGACAGTGATTTAATACAAAATGGTATGTTAATTTCTATCCCTATTAAGCAATCAACACACTAGAAATTTGTCATAATTTCACTAAGACCTGAACAACTCCAACATATGCTTTAAAGTGTTGACTCTTATTTACAAAGAGAAAAGAAAGCTTTTAATAAAATATTAGAACATCATAAGCTAATATACTCATCCTGCATCAACCTATTCTCAAGGTGACAATGTAGTGCCACCTATTGGTTAAAACAGTGCAATTCTCATTTGTAAACCTTGTAGAATGAAAAATTTCAAACTATTCAAAAGTGGAAAGAACAGTATAATGAACCCCATGTGTCATCCATCTTCAATAACTATCAACTCATGACCAATTCTGTTTCTTCTATACTCCCATCCAATTTGTCCCCACCTTCCAATTTTGAAACTAACATACATCATTTAAAGAAATGAAATCCGTAAGTCATCAATGTTTCTTTTCTTTGAGCACTATGTCCCTGAATGCAAACATCCACATATGAGCATATGTCCTCAAGTATTAAGAGAATAAGAATGAAAAAAATGCTGTTATCTTAAGCACATCCACGAAATTTAGCTTTCTCTGAGAGCGAGCTAGTAAGCGAGTGAGACAGAGAAAAATATAGAAAGGGAGAGAGACAGAAATACAGAGATATAGAGAGGGGAAAAAGAATTTCATGAGTATGAAGAGACTGGTGTTTCAACCCTTGTCCAGCTATCCAGTGATCGAAAAATGTTCTCTCTCAGTTTGTTCATGTATAAAAATAAGGTGATAGTTGGGGTGCCTGGGTGGCTCAGTCGTTAAGCATCTGCCTTCAGCTCAGGTCATGATCTCAGGGTCCTGGGATCGAGCCCCGCGTCAGGCTCCCTGCTCCGCAGGAAGCCTGCTTCTCCCTCTCCCACTCCCGCTGCTTGTGTTCCCTCTCTCGCTGTGTCTCTGTCACATAAATAAATAAAATCTTTAAAAAAAAAAAATCAGGTGATGGTATTAGAAGAATCTTAAAGATCCTTTCCAATTCAAAAGTTCTGAAATTTTATACTGATTTCACATTATAAGTAAACTTAAGCACACAGAACTTTCCATAAACTCTTTTTTCCTTTAAATTAATTTTTAGGAGCACCTGGGTGGCCCAGTTGGTTAAGCATCTGCCTTTGGCTCAGGTCATGATTTTAGGGTCCTGGGATGGAGCCCCACATCATCCAGACTCCCTGGAGTCTGCTTCTCCCTCTCCCTCTGCTGCACCCCCGGCTTGTGCTGTCTCTCTCTCTCTCGCTCTCTCTCTCAAATAAAAAAATGTTTAAAAAAATAAGTAAAATAAACTGATTTTTAAACTTTATCAATAAAAATACAAAAATAAAAATCTAAACACAAGAATCTCTATGTATACAATTTGTAATGTCATCCATACTATATGCAATATAAAATGTGCTTTTCTGTACCTCTGAAACAAATAATACATTATATGTTAAAAAAAACAAAAAAGATAGCAGGAAGGGAAAAATGAAGGGGGGTAATCAGAGGGGGAGACGAACCATGAGACTATGGACTCTGAGAAACAAACTGAGGGTTCTAGAGGGGAGGGGGTGGGGGGATGGGTTAGCCTGGTGATGGGTATTAACAAGGGCACATACTGAATGGAACACTGGGTGTTATACGCAAACAATGAATCATGGAACACTACATCAAAAACTAATGATGTAATGTATGGTGATTAACATAACATAATAAAAAAAAAGATTTTAGTCCCTAATATCTGAGCTTATAAAAAAAAAAATAAATAAATAAAATGTGCTTTTCAATTCCTTCTGTGAACTTCTTTATAATAGGTATATAATACAACTTCAAAGTATAATTACTCCTCTTGATATCTTTAAAAAATAGTAAAATATAGATAAATCCTGTCTTTAGGACCCTCATGTGTCACATATCTTTATTTAAAGGACTTTGGAGATACTTTCATAACTAAATCCTCTAGAAAAATCTAGAATGTTTTATAGCAAATACTGTTTCCAAGAACCAAAAAGGGTGGGACGCCTGGGTGGCTCAGTTGATTAAGTGTCTGCCTTCAGCTCAGGTCATGATCCCAGGGTCCTGGGACTGAGTCCCATCCACATCAGGGTCCTTGCTCAGTGTGGAGCCTGCTTCTCCCTCTGCCTGCCACTCCCCTGCTTGTGTACGCTTGTGCACGTTCTCTCTCTCTCTCATTCTCTCTCTGACAAATAAATAAATACAATCTTTAACAAAAAAAAAAAAAGGGGGGGTACAAAATATAGGATATAGTTATCCTATAGTAACATGCTCCAGAACAATCCACAGGGTTCAAATAAGTCACAGTCAATATCAAAAATATCAACAGAATTAAGTTATTTAAAAAGTACCAAGAGGGGCGCCTGGGTGGCTCAGTAGGTTAAACTCCAACTCTCGGTTCTGGTTCAGGTCCTGATCTCAGGGTCGTGAGATGGAGCCCTGTGGCATGCTGAGCGCGGAGTCTGCTTGAGATCCTCTCCCTCTGCCCTTCTCCACCCTCCTTGCGTGATGTGTGCACGCATTCTCTCTCAAATAAATAAAATCTTTAAAGATTTTTTTAAATTTTTTTGAAAGATTTTATTTATTTTTTGGCAGAGAAAGACACAGCGAGAGAGGGAACACAAACAGAGGGAGTGGGAGAGGGAGAACAGGCTTCCCCCGGAGCGGGGAGCCTGATGTGGGGCTGGATCCCAGGACCCTGGATCATGACCTGAGATGAAGGCAAACGCTTAACGACTGAGCCACTCAGGCGCCCCAAAATCCTTAAAGATTTTTTTTTTTTTAAAGATTTTATTTATTTATTTGAGAGAAAGAGAGTGAGAGAGAGCATGAGAGGGGAGAGGGTCAGAGGGAGAAGAAGACTCCCCACTGACTGGGGAACCTGATGTGAGACTCGATCCTGGGACTCCAGGATCATGACCTGAGCTGAAGGCAATTGCTTAACCAACTGAGCCACCCAGGCGCCCCTTTTAAAGATTTTTTTAAAATTTATTTGACAGAGAGAGAGAGAGAGAGAGAGGCAGGCAGAAGGAGAGGGAGAAACAGGCTCCCCACTGAGCAGAGAGCCTGACATGGGGCTTGATTCCAGGGCCCTGGGATCGTGACCTGAGCCCAAGGCCTACATTTAACCGACTGAGCTACCCAGGTGCCCCTTAAATAAAATCTTAAAAAAAAAAAAAAATTCTCTCTCTCCTTTTCCCTCTGCCCCTCCCTCCCTCTCTAAAAAAATAAATAAAATTAAAATTAAAAAAATAAAAATAAAAAGTACCAAGAACATTGAAAGATTACAACCTCAGAAAAGGGGTTATAAGTTAAATACAAATTATTCAGTATGTTTTTTTAGCATAAAAGGAAAAAACATTATGTTGGACCCTGTGAAATGAATAAAATATACAGATTTTTTTCAATTACAGGATTTCATTTTTAAACTCTTACAAGTACTGGAGTGCTCGGGTGGCTCAGTCAGTTAAATACCCAACTCTTGATCTCGGCTCAGGTCATGATCTCAGGGTTTTGAGATCAAGTAGCGCATGGGGCTCTGCAGTGGGCATGGAGCCTGCGTTAAGATTCTCTCTCCTTCTCCCCTCAGTTCTCTTGTATTTAGATCCTAGTGATCAGGACGCATGTTATATTCATCCCTGAACACACGATTTTTTTTCCCCCCAATTAACACATAAATCCAATCAGAGTGTCTTCTGATCACGTGGTGTTGTTTTTTGTTTTTTTGTTTTTTGGAAGGGAAGGCTAGCTTCTTTTATTACCTATTTATGGGAAAGATGTTTCATTCTTCATATTATATGCAAGGTTGAATGCCGTGTGCGTGTGTGTGTAAACTGATCAATTTTTTAAGCCAGATAATCTAAGGAGGTAGAAATTAATGAATTTGTTTCTTTTTCACTTTTCTAGTCAACCTATTTAAATTACCATCAGAAATAATATGACTTGGGGGAGAAAAAGGATGAACGAATTGATCCACAAAGTGGATGATCACTTTCTCAACAATGAAGAGTTAACTTTAACAAAGCAAGAGCTTATTAACATATATCAACTTCCTCCATACACAAGTTGTTAAATTTTAAGCCCTCCTGAACGATTATTATCTATAATCTGCCTATAGATTATTTTCTAATTTTATAACGGATTTGTTTGATCATCCCCTTCACAGTTACAAGTAGGAGTCCCTAAACGCACAAAGAATGGAAAGATATCCTGCACCCTCTACACTCACTCTCCATCAGTTGTGATTAACACAACAATTCTGGAACTATTCTGACGTTAATTGTACTATACAAGCCCTAATAAAGCAGGGACATCCCAGGCCTCCCTCTGAGGATTTAAGGATCATAATTTCTGTCTCAGGACTACAGATGAAGGTTCTATTTTTGTACTATCACTCTTTATTCTGTCATGGTAATTTTTAAAGTTTCACATGAATTTTGTTTCTATAAAATATGTAATTAAACTGTTTTGGAGCGAAAAGCAAAAACAAACTTCCAATAAATACATACTAAATGGTCAAAATGTACTTTATGGCCTTTAAATATTAAACATACTATACTTTATGTCCCTATACCAAAGTTTATGGCAACTTATCCCTTAGCACCACAGACGCTACTCATTACGCACAGTAATAACAGCACTGTAACTTGCAGAGGAAACGCACTCACACTGTGCTGGCTCTCAATCTCTTCATGTTTCTGCTGTAGGGCCTGGGAGGCCCGGATGGAGTCTCCAATCCCCCACTGGGCTCGTAGCTGTTCTGATCCAGGCCCTTCAAGCCAGTTCACAACCTATAAATGAAAGTTGAGACCAAAATCTTAAAATAATCAAAAGCTCTTCAAACATTCAATGTTTTCTCCTCCCAAAGTTCCTCAAATATCTTTTTTAGTTTTTAATTTTTCTTTATTTGACAGAGAGAGAGCACAAGCAGGGGAAGCAGCAGGCAGAGGGAGAAGCAGGCTCCCCGCTGAGCAGGGAGCCCAATGATATGGGGCCTGATGATGGGGCTCGATCTCAGGACCCCAGAACATGACCTGAGTTGAAGGCAGACGCTTAACCGACTGAGCCACCCAGGTGCCAGGTGCCCCAGTTCCTCAAGCATTTTTAATTTAAATTCTTTAAATTCTATTATAAAGGCAATAAATGTTTCTTTTCGAACCACGTGGCTATAATCTGACAACTTTTCCAAAAGCAAAATTTGAAAGAATGTACACTGTAGCACCTTAAGCTTTCAGCTCTCTGATCATCTGTCAGGCTAAAAGAAATCTGGAATGCTCCCATAAAAGAGGATTAAAAATTAACTTATGATGATAAGAAAATAAGAGAACTATACGATTTTGCATTGGAAGGGACATTGGAAATGACATTGGTCAAATTTCTTATCTAACACTTAAGAAAACTCAATTTCAGAGATTAACTGATTTGCCCAAAGTAATATAATCCATTATTAAAAACCTAGGTCTAAAAGCCATGTATCCGGACTCACAGTCAAATGTTCTTCTCAAAGTACTGATAAAAGGGGGGACTAGGAAAGAGGGCAGAGTAGGGGACCCTATTTCAACTGGTCCCTGGAATTGAGCTGGATATCTACCAGACCACTCTGAGCACCCATGAAACCAGCCTGAGATGTAAGAAGATCTGGATCTCTACAAAGAGAATATCGCAGGCGGTTGGTACGAAGCAGGAAGCAGGGAGCCGTGATTCCGCGGGCAGATATCAGAGGATAAACGGCAGCGGGAGGGAGCCTGGCCGTGGGGATCCTACACCGCCGGTGAGTGATAGCCTCGTGCGCTGGGGACGGGCACAGACTCGCAGACCAGTAGTGCAGGGAAAGGACTTCAGGGCAGCCCCCGGGGTGGAAACCCGGAGCCGTGGGGTCGTGCCTGCGAACTGGGAGCGGCTGGCAGTTTTAGAAGTACAAAGGGCAGAGACGTGCCCCGACCTGGAGGCAGGACTGGGAGCGCTGTGGTTGTCCAGCACAACCCAGGACGCTGCAGTTTACAGCAGCACGGACAGAAACGGAGACAGTGTGGCCTGGCGAGCTCACTGAAGAACAGACTGCGGTCTCTCTGCTCTGAGGCAGAGGGTTAGAAATGGTCTCTTCTGCTCTGACTCGCGGAAGAGACGTGGAAAGCCGCCAGAGAACAAAAGCCCCAAAGACAGATTCCAGCTGAGCCCATTTCCTGCCACAGGGGCGCAGGGCAACTCGGCCCAAACAGGGTTGCCTGAGTAACAGCACAGCAGGCCCCTCCTGCAGAAGACAGGCTGGGAAAACAAGAGGCCAGCAACCCTAAGGTCCCAAGAAAACAGGTGCATCTTGCTTGGGTTCTGGTCAATAATTTGGACTCTATACATTCCCTCAAACACCCATCAACAGAATGACTAGGAGGAGGAGCCCCCAAAATAGAAAAGACTCAGAGATTATGACTTATGCTGCAGATTTACAAATGGATGCAGATATAACCAAGATGTCGGAGATGGAATTCAGGCTAGCAATTGTGAAGACAATGGCTAGAATGGAGAAATCAATTAATGGCAACCTAGAGTCTCTAAGGGCAGAAATGAAAGCTGAATTGGCAGAACTTACAAATGCTATCAATGAGATCCAATCCAATCTAGATAATCTAACAGCTAGGGTAACTGAGGCAGAAGAACGAATAAGTGACCTGGAAGACAATAGAATAGATAAAAAGGGAAAAGAGGAGGCCAGGGAAAAACAACTCAGAATCCATGAAAATAAAATTAGAGAAATAAGTGACACCATGAAGCGTTCCAATGTCAGAATAATTGGAATCCCGGAGGGAGTGGAGAGAGAGAGAGAGGACTAGAAGATGTATTTCAGCAAATCGTAGCTGAGAACTTCCCTAATCTGGGGAATGAAACAAACATTCGAGTCCTAGAGGCAGAGAGGACCCCTCCCAAGATCAAGGAAAACAGGCCAACACACCGGCATGTCATAGTAAAACTTGCAAATCTTAGAACCAAGGAAGCCATCTTAAGGGCTGTTAGGGGGAAGAGATTCCTTACGTAAAGAGGGAGGAACATCAGAAAAATGTCAGACCTATCCACAGAGACCTGGCAAGCCAGAAAGGCCTGGCAAGACATATTCAGGGTACTACATGAGAAGAACATGCAGCCAAGAATACTTTATCCAGCAAGGTTGTCATTCAGAATGGATGGAGAGATGCAGAGCTTCCACACCAGCAGAAACTGAAAGAATTATGTGACCACTAAGCCGACCCTGCAAGAAATATTAAGGGGGGTTCTATAAAAGGAGAAAGACCCCAAGAGTGATATACAACAGAAATTTACAGGGACAATCTATTAAAACAACGTCTTCACAGGCAACATGATGACAATTAATTCATATCTTTCAATAATCACTCTCAACATGAATGGCCAAAATGCTCCCAAAGAACGGTACACGGCTGCAGATTGGATAAAAAGACAGGACCCATCCATATGCTGCCTACAAGAGACTCATTCTGAACCTAAAGATACATCCAGACTGAAAGTGAAGGGATGGAGATCCATCTTCCATGCCAGCGGACCTTAAAAGAAAGCTGGGGTAGCAATTCTTATATCAGACAAATTAGACTTTAAACTAAAGTCTGTAATTAGAGACACAGAAGGACAGTATATCATTCTTAAAGGGTCTATCCAACAAGATCTAACAATTGTAAATATCTATGCCCCCAACATGGGAGCAGCCATATACATAAGCCAACTGTTAACCAAAATAAAGAGTCATACTGATAACAATATGTTAATTGTAGGAGACCTCAATACTCCACTCTCAGCAGTGGACAGATCATCTAAGCAGAAAGTCAACAAGGAAACAAGAGCTTTGAATGATACATTGGACCAGATGGACCTCATAGATATTTACAGAACATTCCACCCTAAAACAACAGAATACTCATTCTTCTCGAGCGCACATGGAACTTTCTCCAGAATAGACCACATACTGGGTCACAAATTAGGTCTCAACCGATACCAAAAGACTGAGATTATTCCCTGCATATTCTCAGACCACAATGCTTTAAAACTGGAACTCAATCACAAGAAAAAATTTGGCAGAAATTCAAACACTTGGAAGCTAAAGACCACTCTGCTCAAGAATGTTTGGGTCAACCAGGAAATGAAAGAAGAACAAACAATTCATGGAAATCAATGAGAACGAAAACACATCGGTCCAAAACCTATGGGATACTGCAAAGGCGGTCCTAAGGGGGAAATAAATAGCCATCCAAGCCTCACTCAAAAAAATAGAAAAATCCCGAATTCACCAACTAACTCTACACCTTAAAGAACTAGAGAAAAAGCAACAAACGATGCCTAAGCCACACATTAGAAATGATTAAAATTAAAGCAGAGATCAACGAATTAGAAACCAGAAACACAGCAGATCAGATCAACGAAACTAGAAGTTGGTTCTTTGAAAGAATTAGTAAGATCGATAAACCACTGGCCAGACTTATCCAAAAGAAAAGAGAAAGGACCCAAATTAATAAAATTATGAATGAAAGGGGAGAGATCACGACTAACACCAAGGAAATAGAAACAATTATTAGAAATTATTATCAACAACTATATGCCAATAAACTGAGCAATCTGGATGAAATGGAGGCCTTCCTGGAAACCTATAAGCTGCCAAGACTGAAACAGGAAGAAATTGACAACCTGAATAGGCCAATAACCAGTAAAGAGATTGAAGCAGTGATCAGAAACCTCCCAAAAAACAAGAGTCCAGGGCCTGATGGATTCCCTGGGGAATTCTAACATACATTCAAAGAAGAAATAATACCTATTCTCCTGAAGCTGTTTCAAAAAATAGAAACAGAAGGAAAACTTCCAAACTCATTCTATGAGGCCAGCAATCCCCAAACCAGGCAAAGACCCCATCAAAAAGGAGAATTTCAGACTGATATCCCTGATGAATATGGATTCCAAAATCCTCAACAAAATCCTAGCTAATCGGATCCAACAATACATTAAAAGGATCATCCACCACGACCAAGTGGGATTTATCCCCGGGATGCAAGGGTGGTTCAACATTCGCAAATCAATCAATGTGATAGAACACATTAATAAGGGGAGGGAGAAGAACCATATGGTCCTCTCAATTGATGCAGAAAAAGCATTTGACAAAATACAACATCCTTTCCTGATTAAAACTCTCCAGAGTATAGGGATAGAGGGAACATTCCTCAAGTTCATAAAACCCATCTATGAAAAACCCACAGCGAATATCATCCTCAATGGGGAAAAGCTGAGAGCCTTTCCCTTAAGATCAGGAACACGTCAAGGGTGCCCACTCTCACCACTGTTGTTCAACATAGTACTAGAAGTCCTAGCAACAGCAATCAGACAACAAAAAGAAATAAAAGGTATTCAAATTGGCAAAGAAGAAGTCAAACTCTCTCTTTTCACAGACGACATGATACTTTATGTGGAAAACCCAAAAGACTCCACCCCCAAATTACTAGAACTCATCCAGCAATTCGGTAATGTGGCAGGATACAAAATCAATGCACAGAAATCAGTTGCTTTCTTATACACTAACAACGCAACTGTAGAAACAGAAATTAGAGGGCGCCTGGGTGGCTCAGTTGGTTAAGCGACTGCCTTCGGCTCAGGTCATGATCCTGGAGTCCCGGGATCGAGTCCCGCATCAGGCTCCCTACTCAGCGGGGAGTCCGCTTCTCCCTCTGACCCTCCCCCCTCTCATGTGCTCTCTCTCTCCTCTCATCCTCTCTCTCAAATAAATAAATAAAATCTTTAAAAAAAA